CATCCACCGAAACTGTAAAAATGGAGCGTGGAAACTTGGGCAAGTTGGTAGGACATAACTGGATGCAGGAACAGCGCAACCTAGAACTAGTTACTTCGGAACTACGGAAGCGAAAAAAAGCCTTAATGACCGTTTAAGAGAGCACAATAACAATGTGCACAACGTAGTTCAAGGACACCTCGGAATCCACTGCCGAGACTGCAGCTGCGTGCCAGTTTTTGAGCGTTGCGAGGTATTAAGCATGCACAACTCGCAGGCCACGCGTGAAATAATTGAAGCTTATCAAATAAACAAGTTTGACAATAAATGTGTAAGTTGCCCATCGGTTGCGTTGTTGCAAAAAAAAAAGATTCCGTATCTCGATCTTTTTCAAACTAAATGTGTATTTGTTTTCAGCCCATTCAACAAAAGACAAGAGTTTTGCTGACATTGTATCGCAGTGGTTGTTCCTGCATCCTTCTACGCATGCCCAAATTTCCTCATTTTTCGTCTAAATATGTACACCACTCCGATATTAAATCTTTGTTGAAAGTCAGCGCTCTTTTCTGTCCTTGTTTTTTTTTTTCGCTTCTGTAGTTACGAAGTAACTACTTCTAGGTTGCTCTGTTCTTGCATCCAGTTATGTAAAAATGGATCTCCTAAAACTGTGAAAAAAATTTTTTTATAATGAATGACGGTAGGAGACCTTGAGGTATTGTTCATGTTTGGTATAAGACTTTTCCACGGCTGTGGTGGCTGACGATGGTGACGATGTTAATACGGGTACAGGGTCAGCCTCACAAGCTGCAGGCCAGCAATTGCTCCGTTTGAGCGTCACCGTCCCCGTAATAAATACCGTGATGAGGTCAGCCTCTGGCATAAGTGGTAGTGAAATTGGCTAAACTTCCTTGCGCGACTGTTCTGCTCGTTCGCGCGAAAAGCCTCTTTTTTTTTACATGCTGTTGGGCGTAGCTTCTCTCTTACAAAAGTCGGTAGGACCTGAAAGAGCAGACGAAGTGCCTAATATCACCCACTTCATCGAAACCAGCGCGCCATAACGAGGCAGCGCCACCGATATTTAAACGCCCATGGAGAAGTGTAGTCTGATCCCATTTTCAGTTTGCTTAGACAGGTGGCATCTTTCTTCACGGGACAGATTTGACGCGGAAGTTTCCGGAGTTTTTTCATGGCATCCACAAGACGCTGTGTATTAAGAATACATACTTCGGTCGAACGATGATACATCTATTTCCGCTTTGAATATACCATAGCGTAATCATAAAGCGCAGATATTGAAGCGGTGTGCTTCAACTAATGAAGTTGTTCATGTAGGTAGGATTTAGCAAGGTCATAGTTTAGATTCCTTAGGTTATACTGGGAAGCGAATTTGAACCGTTCCGGCATTACTTGTTCCATGTAATTATAGTATGTAAAGCGTTACCTTTAGGTGGCTGCGTCCTGATTTCATCGCAATCCGATGGCACTTTCATGTCGTCACAAAACAGAAGTGGAATAAAAAAAGTCCGTGAGAATTTGGGTTTAGCATTCCGGGGTGTAATGCCTCGTTTCAAGCTTTCATCAACGTATGCCAACACAACATATGCTTTCTTCGACACACTAGTGGGTAGATAAATTATATAGTACGTAAAGAATATATATATATATATATATATATATATATATATATATATATATATATATATATATATATATATATATAATAAGGGAAATAAGTGTATACCTAAGGGCTCGTTTTTCCGTGTTTTGACACAATATTAAGGAGATCTAACAGACAGTAATGCCAAGGAATGTACAGGGGAAGGTGTTAGAACCAATGGAATGTAAATAAGAAGAAAGAAAAGTGGATGAAAAAATAACCACCCGTATATATATATAGTCAAGGTAACATGCGATCGATGATGTGACATGTTTTATATCGGTTCCAGAGGGCCTGTGCCGCTTGCAGGGGATGACATGCTAGACTAATCAAACGGCCGTCAGAGAGCTAAGGCAGTATATTTAGGGCTTGAGCCACAAGATATCTTGTTTCTCGTCTAATTCTAGTCGTTCAATCAAGTACAGGGCCGCCACATGTATCGTGGGACTTGATAAAACGTGTGCGACATCGAGACATCACGTCCGGCCCGCGATACTCACTGGAGACCTAAGCTATACACCGTCATGTGCGAAAGGGCGCCGTCTCTGCGAATTGTAAGCACAAAATTAATTTTGAAAAAATTTGTGCCGTATCTGCATGTTACACTGCAAATGTCGTCGAAAGACGATAGTCTTGCGTCTGAAGAGAGTGAACAAAACGTTTATTGTTCTGCGCAAGAAAATCGGTGAATGGTATTCTGGAGAAGCTGCGTTGGATTGATTGATTGATTTGTGGGGTTTAACGTCCCAAAACCACGATATGATTATCAGAGACGCCGTAGTGGAGGGCTCCGGAAATTTTGACCACCTGGGGTTCTTTAACGTGCACCCAAATCTGAGCACACAGGCCTACAACATTTCCGCCTCTATCGGAAATGCAGCCGCCGCAGCCGGGATTCGAACCCCCGCCCTGCGGGTCAGCAACCGAGTACCTTAGCCACTAGACCACCGCGGCGGGGCAAGCTGCATTGGAGTGCCTCGAGCGTGCAGCTGAGGCGAACGAGCGCATCAAGCCACGTCACACGTGAGACATGAGTGCTATCTGACAGTCATCCTGAAAAACGAAGCGCGTGGCGTGCGCGCCCGTCTCTGAGGTGATAAGGTGTAGAGCACAATGCGACGGGTAGGTGCCACCACTGTGTCGTCTTAGCAAAGCGTTGTAAACACTTGCCTTTTCGTGCAAGCTTTGCATGGTCACCGCAGCGTGATAAACGCTATGGTCCTTAGAATTACTTATGTATGTCTTTTCTAGTAAAAAGACACACATACAGAATATTGACGTGTTGTTATAGTGCCCCAGACATGCGCAATAATTGATTTTTAATTAACAATTGCACAAGTATGAACGCTGAACCTTGAGCTATATTGGTGGGCGCTGCGGATGAGGTCGGTCGTTTGGAGTATCGTTTGGTCACTTTAGTGCCGTTTAGGGTACCTTTAAGGGCGGACAAACAGACAGATGTACAGACAGACAGACCAACATTTTGGCGTCGAAGATCTCCAAGAAAGACCATCGTCCTTGAAAAGCAGAGCGTTTCACACTGCGTGGTATGGTAATAAATTCACAGACTAGTTGACCGGCGCAGTGTAACGGCTCTCCCGGGCAGCATCGAAACCCTCGGCTGTGTCCATGTGCCGCCACTGCCGTCGGAGATGCGGCTCCCCAGAGCGCTATTCATGTCGGCCCCGAAAAAGGCACGATGGATGCCAGACCTTCAGAATTGTCAGACTTTAGCCGATGAGCCAGATTTATTCATACGCTTCAGCGCTGAATATCGTCCCCTGATGTTTGTTAAGTATGAAGCTGTCCGCTTCTGTTACTTGAAATGCTTGCTGCGTGTGCCGCATGTGGCACTGTCGTGTCCGTACGGGTGTGTGGAAAATCAAGCTCCAGCAGTTGATGGGCACATTTATGCAATGCATAGTGAATTATGGCGTGCGCGCGTACTATGAGCTGTACGTATACGTACGTTCGAGCTCTGTACAAAAAATTACGACAGTTTCGTTTTGTGCACTCTAGCTCTCACACTAAACTGGCGACTTTACAAGCGAGATTGTTACGTGTTATAGGTGACTTGAACAAAAAAATATGTCTGGCTATTCTCATCTATTTCGTTTTTGGGGGGGGGGGAGGGGGGGGGGGCATTGCGTGACCTGTGCCGTGATATTTCTCAAAGTTGCACACTAGTAGACAAAAACCAACATACTTTGGAACTTTCGTAAGCGAAATTATTGCAAATATATTGCCGTGTCTCTTTTGTCGCATTTTATCAGTTTGGAACCTTAGTTTCATTTTTTTCCTTTTTTTCATTTGGTCACATCATTCAAGTGCTTGCTGTGTGTTCGTAGCTTGCGCTGCTTAAATATTTCTGGGCTGCCGCATGCACTTGCTCTGTAAGCTTGCCTGCTCTGCGTGCAGTCCTCATCGCTGCGTGCGCATGCGCGAATGAATGTGCATGTTCTCCGATCCCGTAAGTCTCGTGAAATTGTATCTGTTGTGTTGGGGGTCGATCGTGGATTGAAATGATTGTATGCCCTTCCAAAGATCCAAGTTTCAAAGAAAGAAAAAAATGACAGCGCTTCGTTGTCACTTCTCCACAGTGGCGAAATAACTGCCTTTAATATCAACCTTTCGTGCAAGTAGGGAAGCTTCAATCATTTAGTGAGGCCTGGGCAGAGGCCTCGCCTGTAGTGGCATAAACGACGTGGAGTGCCTTGGTTCGACACTACTTGAAGCTTGGATCTTGCGCGAAAATGTGTCGTGAAGTTTGACCCTGCTGCCGTTCAATTGTTCGCCCTGTCTCCCTTGTCTCTTTTGCGTGAGACGCCCCTTCAAGACTTCTCATACAAGCGCATAGAGAGAATTCGACTGCTGCTACATTATCGCTCGATTCGCCAGATGTTTGAAACTGTCTTCGTCCATGTCATTACTGTTACGCATCGGCACGCTTCGTGCATTTTATTGGGTTAGCTGAACATCATGTTTCTGACAAGGAAGCTTATACAAAAAAATAACAAGATTAAGATTGTTTGTCACATGTGGTGATATGAGGACAACAAAATCACGTTGCGCAAAATCATTCAATAGGCGTAAAACTAACGCCAAGCATGTAGGTAACGTCATACTGCCTCTTGTCTGTATTTCGAAAGCTTCATGTGCTGCTTTATTGACACACAATGGACGTAATCAATACACGAGCGTGAATAAGGAAACCAAACTCAAGCTTTCGCTGAATGATAGCATTGTGTGCGACGCAGTTGTCACGTTAAAAAAAGCAGTAGAAGAGGTTATTGTTAGAACAGCGATAGTTTCCATAACGGCGAACGCAAGAGTTTTTTTAACAGTGCCCACCCTCCTATTTCAGAGACGGAGTTGAGAAATGCCAGTCTTGGTCGACGAACACAACGCAGCAAATAGATCTAGCTCTGAATATATTCTTCATGGTCTATTTTTTTATACGTGTGAGTATAAACATTCTATTTGTCTCACGTCACTGATGGCTGAAGTATGTCAAAAGATATGTTGGTAATTTCGTTTTTTTTTTTTTGCTAAAGGCTTACAAGTTTCGCATTCATATACCCGTAACATGCTTGCACGTGGTTCAACCAGAGAAGCGTTCAACTAGTGGTAACAAAAAAACTGAAGGTATAAAAAGGCGTTTAATGGTTCAAACAAAACTGCCCGATTATATCTACTTAGCTTGAAGCACCGCCCACATATGGCGAGGGTCGGTCTGAAGTGCAACTCACCTCGTGGCGACCGTTGCTACAGTGGCGCCATCTGTCCGCCAAGTCCTAATTCAGGGTGCGCGTTCAATATTCGATAATACTCAGTGAGACGGCCACCGTTTCCTGCCTTGTGCCTGGGATTCATGTGCTGTTTCTGCTGATGAAGACAACGCGAATACAATACCAAAAGAGTGTAAAAAAAAGAATGAAAGCCGTTTCACGACCTAAGTTAGCTTGAAAACAATTTCATTTCTCGACACGACCTATTTACTGGACGCCTCATGCACACCTGAAAGCAACGCGTGAAAATACGTGACTGAGCAGCTTTATCCACATCATCCTCGTGGTAATTTGAAAGAGAGATATCTGGTCATCCCAAATAAGTATTCGTCAATGATAACAAAGGGGAACTGGTAAATAGTGTATGCGCGTGCATTGTGATACGCTGGCAGAGTCGGTGGCGCCGGCCCTCCTCTGACGCGTGCATGAACGTGCTACAAGAGCTACAAGAACGAATAATGATATAGATGTGAAAGGTCATCAAACACGAATATCTTACGAATCGTGGCAAAAACACTACCCTCGCTAACGCATGACCAAAATCCTCACGTGTGTCGCACTCGAGACACTGATATAATTCATGCATCGAATTAATCTACATTACTGATCGGCAGAAACGTGGCTGCATATTTAGAATCAAAGAAGTGTCATTGTAAGTTCCATGAAAATCCGCACGGGTGATACGAAGGTCTTTTTTTAGCCTCATTTGGTAAAAATTGTTTCTATTATTACATGCGGAATAAGAAACACTCCAGCCAAAGTGTGTTGTTTCTGTGCTGTTGTAGGCATAGTTGTTACAATTTCTGAAAAAAAAAAAAATACGCTATCACACCTTAATAACTTACACTAGTCATATAGTACAATCGAAGGATAGGACGATGATCAAGTTGCAAAGCGTCATCACATATGAGCTTTCGCCGAGTGCATTAGCGCTGGTGTCGTCAACTCTCGCTTTATGGATTTCGCTCGTCTTGCAGCAATTAGCTTTCACTGCAGGCTTTATTCATTCGTGCTATGCGTCAATAAAAACTGTTCTCTCCACAGACATCACTTTCTGTGACGCTCCGGTCCATGCGAGGGCAGTCTATGTCGGGCGTGTTTTTATCAGTCTTTTGTAAAGAATCAGAGAGAAGGTTCGGACGTTATCTGTGCCAGGCGGCATAGTTAAAGTGTACTACTGAGGGAATCACACGTCACTCGCGCAACGAATCGAAATGCATAATCAAATAATTAACAAAAGTTTCACTAAATATTTATCTTGTCACCTTACGAAACATATTTTTATTTACCAGTTGCATTCACTTGGAACTAATTTTCTCACGGTGGAGACGTTCACTTACGAAACAAACTGACTTAGTATTGTGCTCCGGCACGTTAATCAGCGCTTTTCTTACAAGGAGAGGCAATAAGAACATCCAGTTAACTGCACATATCACAATAACAGTGAGTGCCTCAGAATTCATTCCAATATTATGTACTTTGCCAACGCGCTGGCTATAAGGTCCAACTACAATGTTGTTCTTAGCTACCATTCAGTCGCTGACGACTCTTGGTGGCGCCATGAGTGTGTGACAGCCATTGAGACCTATTTAATGTAAGTTATTTAGGCTTACCGAGTAATTTGGCCTGAAGAATGTTCCCTTGCCATCTCGTGCACGGGCGGCCCCGCTTTCTCCGCTACCTTCCACTCTATCTGGCTATTAACTTTCGCTTCAGTGAACCACATTACGAGACCAAACACAAGAAAGCTCCAGTTTCAGAACTTGAAAAAAGTACGCTGGGCTGCTCTTCCTTATGACTGAAAAATTTTAGTGTGTCTCAGTCGATTATGCATTTAAATTGCTTTGTCAGCAACGCCCATCCCTTCGAGCAATACAATTAAATAGTTTGTTTCATTATATGTACCAGGCAACGTTTGAAAATTGTGTACGTATACTCTCTATGGTAGCTGTGGCGTCACACTGCAGAGTTTAGGTCTTCGGCTCACTATCGGGTTTCAGCAGCCGTGTGAACGCGGAGGCGGTATTCAATGATGTTCATGCACTACACTTAGTCGCTCGGTAATTTTTTTGAGGACGCCACTAAGGCTTGCCTTTTAATTTTGTCGTGGCTTTGGCCCGTAACGCCCCAGAATCAAAGCATCTGGCAGGTCACACTAAAAGCACCTGGTTTTAAAACGATCACCGTAATAAATATGGTATCCCTATCTTAGGTGAAAAATACACAACCGCAAACAATTGCTTACCGTTTTCTGATTAGTGCCAAAATGCGCTCATCTGCGTGCAGGCTTGTGCTGAGAGAAGTTTTATCAATGACTAAGCAGTTGAAGTTGTTCTTACTAATATCGGCCTCACGCCGTGGATTGGTGTAATTACTGCAGCGCCTGTAGTTACTTTTAGTATATTTATTCTGATCATGCTGCGGGTTGGTCAGCGCGGCCTACAGTTGCCAGCATTGCACACGACGTATAGAGGCCCAGAAACGTTACATTTATAAAACTAATCCTAGGAGGCTCATTAGATGTGTGTGAAAAGTGAGGTGCCAAAAATATACGATTCAGATTATTTGTAAATTACTAAAAAAATTTGTTTTCAACAGGTCGGTCAATGAGTCATAAATTAAACGTTCATAATATTTCATTCAATGACCGAAGAGTACATTAAGAGAAAAAACAACAAATTTACCAACCTTCGGTGATTTTTGAAGCGAACATTTTGTTAAAGAGAACAAAAAATGCGAGCTTTAGAGCCTTTGATCACCTCACTAATCAGGGCTGTAATTTAGTGTGTGCTTACGGTTTTGGGTGATATACATTTACATGGATGTGACTAAGACACGAGTGTGTGATTTTTTTTTGTTAAAACTGGAAAAAATCCGCACATGCACGTAAATGCTCTCCTTTTATTTTTCGTTTTACAGTTCATTGCGGCCAGCGATAAGTTGTGGTTCATGTTGGAGCTATATTCATTTGTTGATTACTTCACCATTCCGCCGTCCTTTGTTTCTATCTACTTAGACCGTACATGGATTGGTAAGTACTTCTTTTTATTGTAATTTTGCTCTACGCGTTGTTATAAAGTGTTCTACGTTTTAACAGACGTTGGTTGTCGCTTGCTTTAGACGAGACTACAGACGTGTTCTTCTTTTTCTCATTAAGGCAGCGAGGATGTTTTCCTTTTTCTTTTTGCCTATCAAACATAAAGTGCTTTTTGAGTAAGCTCGAATATGCTGTGCCGACTCTTATGCGTACGTGAAACGCACCGCGGGACAATGTCGTAACTTTGCGTGTTTTTTTTAAGTGTGCGAACGATTGGCAGCTGCCGCCAGCATATTGAGCACTGTCCTCCGAAGGAAGCCAATATATTCATTGCGATAACTCTAGATCTTTGCCGATTAGTTGCTAAGTTTTCAGGACATTTTGGTGCGTGCATTTTTTTCAATGGGGGTATAGTGTACATCTCTTACTAACGGTTCCCAATGTTTCTTTTTTTTTTTGAAACCTTTGAATGCGGGTGTACATGCTCAGTGTCTGTTTCACGCTTTGAGTTTGTTATATTTCATGCATGAATGTCGGCAGGGTTCTCTCCCGGGGGGGGGGGGGGGGCAACTCCGTGTTAAATTGTGACGGATGGTTTGGCATGATTGGGGGCCAAGCACGGGTGTGACTGCAAGAGGGCAAGTGCACCTCTTGCAGCCCCCTACCGACGTGCATGGTGGCGAGGCACTGTCTATCAAACTAGAAGTTCGATAGACAGTGTCTTATTTCAGGAAGCTCGACGTCAAACATGGAGTGCGTTTTGGCTAATACGGTTCATTTGTGAGAAGCGAAATGTCGAATTCATTCACATAGTACAATTGATTGATGTGTACCATAGGTGTACCAGAGAGGTCGTCCTGCGCAGGTATTTTCTAGGCTGATACTGTGCGTGGAAACCAGCTTAAAGTTATCTCTTTATATTTGAAGCCTTCTACATCTGCTAACCTCAGTTTACAAAGTCTGGAAGATATGCGTGCTTTTTGGGAGAAAACACCCTGAAAGCTGGCTTTTTGTGGTAACAGTCAATGCGCAGAGAAGCTAAACTTCAGTAACAGAAAAACGTCCTGTAAGGATTTACGTACACATGGTGCCTTGATCTTTATTTATTTGTAAAATTAAAAAGAAATAACAGCAGCAGATAACAAAACTACATTAATTAAACTGGATTACTCAAATTACACGCACGCGAGATCAGTAAACATTGCCGATCAAATAACAATATTCCAGATACATGGTATCATTGATACATTGTATATGTGCCACAAAAACATTAAGTAGAACTTCATTAGTATTTTTTCATTAGTTATCGTGAAGTTATCATTAGTTATCGTGAAATATAAATGTACATCAGTGTTTCTTGTAAATAAAGCCTTCAATTAAGTGAACCAAAGCAACCGTAGAGTGAAATCTATGAACGGCGATTTTCACACTTCTACCGAATGCAAAAAAAAAATAGATTACATGTGCGCAACACAAGGAGTAATTATGGAGGTAATAAACCAGAAACTAAAAAGTATTTCCGCTAGGACTAAAGTGAAATTCGCTTTAACGCCTAACACCTAACAAAATAATAAAATGTAACGCATAACCAGTCGCGCCGTCGTGACATCGGCTACTGCATACGCAACTAAGGCCTCGGCACATGCAGTGAACGTGTCGCATGCAGTACGCTAGTGACATGCAGCCAATAGCACCATCATGGTACTTTTTCGTACGCGTGTTGTGGAAGGCAAAGCAGTTGGAGCGCATACGCTTAAAGCGCTATATAGACGAGCCTCAAGTATCAAAATGTGTAGGACGTTACGTTCAATTTCCGGTCATGTTCACTGCCTTTAAATGAGAAGGAATGAAAACTTTCACATTCGTTCAGGCTTTAAACATGCATAATTTATTCTTGGTAGTCAAGATTATTCTTAGTTCTAATACATCATTTAGATAGAAACACACATAGAGCGTTGTTGTTGCATCGTAGGGAATCCTATAAGGCTCTTTGTACATGACCAAAAGTGGCTGTTGGCGTGTTAAGTGCTCTGACATGAAGCAGTTTAGAGCCTTGCTGAAGATGCGAGGAGTACTGTCTGCCGGCCCGTAGCCAGGAGGGGTAAGGGGGCTAGGGGCCCGCTTTTCCAAAATTCGGATGAAGGGGGGGGGGGTGTGTTTCACCGAAAAGAAGTAATACGGATAGGAATGTTTAAAGGTTTTCAACAAGTGCCTCCCCTCCCCACCCTCTCCGAAAAAAAAACTTTGTGGCTACGGGCCTGACTGTCGGCTAACTGTTTTGTCGCATGGAAAAGCGAATTTTTCTTCCGAACGACGCCAAGAGCGAGGTTCTCACCTCACAGCAATGTGATGGGAGCGAAATTTGATGCCAATAATAGATCATCGCAGGAGTGATAACCTCTGCCGTTACAGGCCTCCGTTTTCTGCGAGCTCTGCGAATGATGTCTGTACCAGACATCTTGCAGTACCTGAACGTCCTCAAGACAAGCAGCTCTATCCGACTCGCCCAGCTCGTCTCCATCGTCATCAGCGTCTGGCTGACTGCCGCGGGAATTATCCATTTGGTAAGTAACACCACTCACCGGCACAGCGCCTTGTTCCCTTCACCTCGTTCACGGAGTAGACTTACATGTGTAGCACCGTGACCGGATTAGCTGCTTTGTTGTTGAGAATCAAATGCACGGAAGTCTTTCTGGCCCTCTCTCCTCAAAATCCTGTTGTGCGACCAAAGTCCGTGATCGCGCTAGCGGATAGCTACTTCAAATAGGTTGTCTATAAGCCATTCGTTGCCGCTCGATCATTACCGACCAATGCTGGAAATTCCTTGTGGCACACTAGGCCGGCCTCAAGGTTATAACTGGTTGCATGTAGACCCTTAAAATGCTGTTGTAGTCATAATCCTTTCGGCATGTATTGTTTGAATTGCTGTTTCCAAACAAGAACAACATTGGAAATGTCATCGCAGGACAAATAGATGTACGTGCACGATACGCTCTTCTAATTCGAAAGCTACAGGGATAAAGCGTCTCGTGTATTCCAGTAGGTGTCAATTCAATGTGATAGCAAAAGAAATGAAATGGCAGATAATTTGGCTAAATACATCCCATCAAGATTTAAAAAAAAAACGACTAACTTCCACGTCATAATCCACCACGCGCAGCATCCTACGCTTACTAAAAGTAAACTGCCCGTAAAACTTGTTCACAGAGTGCTCTCACTCAAAATGTCGAGCGAGAGCACCACGCTCTTGGAGTGGACACAGCAGAGGCGGTCGGAACGAACCAAACAACAGATATTTATTTAACTACTTTTGAACGACGATATCGTCAGCCGAATAATTATAACATCAATCGTGATCAACACGCTAAGACATACTTACACAATATTTAACAACATGACAAACAAGGCGGTGTCGCTAACGCCCGACTCACCACGTGGGCCCACCGCAGTCGGCCCGTGGTGCCGTTGTCAGATAGGAAGGAGACGCGGCGCCGAAGCGTTTTGTCCCAGAGGCACACTTAACTCATCAACCCATCATCATCCTACGTCTGTCCCGGCAGTTCCTCCCCCCCCCCCCAGGGTCGTGTGAGGGGGACGATGTGCCGCCAGGTGTCACCTCCGGCGCTGCCGATCTAACAACCATGTTGATGATAGCGGTGATCAACGCTCGCGAACACATCGCCACCTACCACTCAATAGTTGTGACCTTAAAATACGTCTTCTGTGCGAGACACGTGCGCCACGCTACGCAAACAACTTTACAAGAAGTGTCAGCACCTCCACAACACACACACACAAACATTATTCAGACGTTACTCCCACCTTGAGTAAAAAACTAATGTTCGGCTTCCACAACTGATTCGTGCAATCTTCCCGTCTTTGAATTATTTATTAAATAAATAACGTTTCTTGTTTTGTTGTTGTTCAGACTAAGCATGCGTCACCTTCAACGTGTTCCTGCACCCGAGGTTGTTTGTCGCCTGTTACTAGATTGCCTTATGCTCATACTCAGCAACTGGAACAGGAACACCGTTTTTTCCTGAATTCACATCGAACGCCCCTATTCCCGACAACCACGCGGGCACCACGACGCGAGTTTGATTCCCGGTCAAGAACACCGGCTTTTTTTTCAGAATTAGCTGCACGTTAGAAAACCCCAAGTGGTCAAAACAAATCCGCCGTCCCCCACTGTACAGAGTGTATTTAGGTTTTATCCCGTAATACCCACTTGGCGCAACATGGGAGAGGCCTTTGCCCTGATGCGGGCGTAGTCAGGCTAATTATGATGATGTCATCATGTTGATGGTAATGATGATGATGACATGAAAAGGTATTACGTTGTAATGTGTTACCAAACTAATTTTAAATAATTTCACCATGGCAAAAAAAGGTTATCAAAAAAAAAAAACATGCGTGTGATATTTTTTAGCTATTTTGTACACGAATTAAAGCAGTTACGCTCAGATTTCTGCAGTAGCATATAACTTGAGCTATTCACCTGAAAGGACAATTGGATGACGGAAGAATTTTTAAATGTTTCGAGACCTCTTTTGAGAAACAATTTGTTGTTTTGCACGGTATAAAGCCTTTCGCAAAGGTTCCCACTTGTTTTCGAGTATAAGCTGACTTAACGTTATTGTTGTGACTTATACAATGATTTTGTTCACCTGGACGTTGATTATGTTACACTGCAGTTTGCGTTCATCATGCATGTTGACAGAAAAGTATTTCCGTCGCGTTGTAACTTTTTCTACACTTAGCTGCACTTAATACTTGGCATGATTTTGGCCAATAGAGCAGGCACTTCCGGCACTTTTGAGCCCGTGCTAAGTACAACGCAACCATCAGCATGGCTTGACATTTAATGCTGCATGGCGTAATCTCGAGGTTAAGCACAGCAGAATGACGTTTCTGCATCATTCTATGTCGAGAAACCTTGTAATTAAAGGGTTAGGGAGACAGTCTTGATCGGTTGTTGGTTTAAAAATGGTAACATGCTCGTGACGTATGCTGTTTTATATTATCCTTTACACTGGATACCTGCAACTACACATTATTTCCTTGCTCTGTTTAGTAACGCCTGACCACTTGTTTTCTAGTTGGAGAATTCTGGCGACCCTCTGGACTTCGCCAATGCTCGCAAGTTGACGTACTGGGAGTGCGTATACTACCTTATCGTAACAATGTCCACTGTAGGTTATGGTGACGTATACTGTCAGACAACACTGGGACAAGTCTTCATAGTACTCTTCATACTGGTTGGCTTGGTAAGTAACAATCACCCAGGTGCCCTTGTTACATTTGTGAGTATTGTGCGCCCCCGTAAAGAAAGAATCAACGCTACGCAATAGAGTTACAATTATTGAGGGGTCTACCATCTGCGTTGAATCAGCAGCCAGTAATCGTGATGCCTAACATAGCATTTTGCACCACATTGAACAGCACTCATGTGCAGGAATTGCGTAAACGGAAGCCAGTAGCCGTAAGGCCCTGGTATTTTCAAAGACATTAAGTTAAATTGTATATGGCTTCGATTTTAAAACACTTTACAACTTTTCCTTCATAAGCTAAAAAAATGAAATACAATGAGTAATATTTCAATCTGATTTATATATCTGAATTACTACAAGCACATATTCATATCATCACGCATATCTGCTTCGACACACACACACACACACACACACACACACACACACACACACACACACACACACACACACACACACATATATATATATATATATATATATATATATATATATATATATATATATATATATATATATATATATATATATATATATATATATATATATATAAGGGAAACAATTGTCTACTTAAAGGCTTTTTTTTCCTGTTTAGACACAGGATTAATGAGATCTAAAAGACAATAATGCCAAGGAAAGTATAGGGGAAGTTATTAGGCCAATTTTAATGTAAATGTGAAGAAAGAAAAGTGGGTAAAAAGATTACTTGCCGGTGGCAGGATCTGACGTTTAACTTCACATATATACCCAATAAAGTGGCTGGGGGGATAGCTGTCGTGGTAGCTTAGTGGTGGAGCATCGAACGCGTTATTCGAAGGTCGCAGGTTCGGATCCTGCTCATGGCAAGTTATCTTTTCACCCACTTTTCTTTCTTCACATTTACATTATAATTGGCCTAATAACTTCCCCTATACTTTCCTTGGCATTTTTGTCTGTTATATCTCATTATATATATATATATATATATATATATATATATATATATATATATATATATTTTAAGTTCCATATCCTGAGAGCAGAGTTCTACAACAGCTTTTACTGTTCACGCAGCTCCCGCCTCAGTCAGCGTCGGCTGCTATCGGAGCCGCAGTGTTGAATGGGCTGAAATCTTTTGATAGGGCATCCGTTCTAAGTGGCCGTTTCAGTTGTGCCTGTTTTTTTCTCGCTCGCTAGCTCTCTCTTTCTGTGAACGTTTTTCATTTAGAGTATAAGAAAATTTTACTCGTAGCAGTTGCAGCTGAAATTTTAATATTTGAGCATGCTTTGGAAGCTGAGTCGATCCCCCTTAGAAAGTAAGCGAATAATAATATCGACCTAAAGGCAAGCGCTCCTTCAAAAGAGACACACGGCGTGAATCTGCTGCATTCGACCTACCGCAGGTCACGTCCGAGTTTCACTTGCCGCATAAGACGATTCGAAACACATGGAACGAACGAGCAAGCAGCGCGCAAGTTTTGTGCGTATAATCGGGGCGCCTGAACGCACATTCGAAATGCTCCCATCTCCTCTCGCATAATAATAACAACACTTACAACGCTACTTTTTCTTCTTTCTCTACACATATGGCGCTAAAAATAAAAGGCATTCATGGCTACTTTGCCTACTTTCAGCTTGATTTTCCGCTCCCTTTTCAAACCTATCTAACGGCAACCCTGATGCAGTGTCTCCTTGAAGTGGTTACTGGGCGAGTTTCAAGACAGCGCAAGATAAAAAAAAAATACCTGTAAAACAAGAACAGAAACAACGCTGTTGCAGTCTGCGTTTTGTTTTTAGCAGTCTCTTCACCTGTTTTAAATTCTATGTCGCCTTTATTCACGGAATCATTCATATGTCAACTGTGTCAAAGAACTTCGTGCATCTAGACACGTACTTCGTGTTGAAGCTGAGAGACAGCACACTCTATGACCAGCTTTCAATAGTTTTGTTCGAAAAAAAAAAAAAACTTTATTCATTGTTTTCCTGCAGTTGCAAGGGCCGTCCCTCGCGCGTGGTGCTCGCAGGGCGTCGTCACTCAAAAATTCCACTTCAATCGCACAGCCCTAATTAGTTCAGAACTCAGCTCTTATCGCGGGAAACAATCACGGCACCAAAGATGGCATTCAAATTTGCAGCATGCACAGGCCGCCGTAGCACGTTCCCTTTAAGCAGAGGCCCTCTCTTGAAGAGTGGCGCCACAGCGCGGCAGCGCACACGTATAGCGTGACGGTAAAGTTTCGTGACCGGGAAAAGGTTTAAAAGACTCTGCTTATGGGCTTGTGAAGGGAGTATGTCTGCTGTCGTTCTTAAAATTTTCCCTGCCTTGCAAGTGCAGCACCAGATCTCACTCACATTTCAAAGCCTGCAGCTCTTATTCTATAACGACAAAGCATGTCTTGACGAAAATGTGGGCAGTGACTGATTTGTCGCAAGCTGGAATCACGGGCGTTGGAGCAGGATGGTACAGAAATTTTGTTAGCACGCTTAGATGCCGAACCTCAGTTGTGAGTGAAGTCTGATGCAAACACTCTTCTCACTCCTGTCTTTCTCTGCGTTTATTTAAGGTTTTAAAACATATTTTAAGTAATAGTTATGCGAGTTAGAGTTGACTAAAAATAGTTTTATTGGTCACTTTTTATGTTCCAGCTTATCACAGACAAAAATAATTGTATGTGCTTTTTTCCTATCACTATTTATTTATTCCTCCTTAAGGTGGACGTTGCACAAGCAGTCGTGTTATGCGCGCGTGTTTGTTGACCAGATTAATAGCACGCCAGTGTTTATAGCAAACATCGTAGGTACTCAGCCAACGTTTCCACATGGGTTCCTGCTGCTGGCAGCGCTTCGGTAAGCGCAGTTTTTCAAAATATACTTCGTATAATGGGCACCACAGTCTACCATTTGTTCTAGACCAACTGCATACATTGTTTTGAGCGATATTAAAATGAATGTGCCTTGCTCGACAGAGCTACAATGAGATGCTTTAAAGCAGCGAGTCGGCCCAAATCGCGGACTCAAAGCGTGGAGTGCACTTTTCGGGTGGTCTGTGCAGAAGAATGCGCTCCAAGAGAAAGGAACAAATTTTCAAGCATGCCTAATAATGAACGTCATTCGACTACCAGTTTGTTTGTTTTGTTGTGTTTTCTTTTTCTTTCTCTATTCTCGTAGGCCGTGTTTGCCAGTTGCATTCCTGAGATTCTAGAGTTGATAGGGACTAGGCCCAAATATGGCGGCGAGTACAGGCGGGAGCATGGGAAAAGGTACAGTGTGGGTGACCTCACCGTGTTGTGTACACATATCGGCAGGTCTCATGCGACGTGTGACGTGTGGCTCACCTTTGGTTTCTTCCTGCCACCGTTTGTTTGTTTATATCTTCCTGTTTTGTTGATGTTTTCTTTGGCCGTCGTCCTGCGTCGTTCGTCGTCAGTATTGTGCTCTCTATCTCTCTCTTCATGCATGCCTTGTTGCCCTGCACGGCTTAGTGGTTGGTTGCTGGCCAGAAGGCGTTCATCGTTGCGCATCTGGTGTCGTCACTTTGCACATTGGGCTGTGTGGCACGCTGCCCGCGGGGGAACATCAAACACGCTCGTGGCGGCCATTCCAGCCCAACAACACGCCGCGCTCTCAGCCAGCCCCACACACACCGCCCAAGCCAGGGGTTGTCGCGGCGACGATCGTTTAATTACGCCTGACAACAAGCGCGCACATGGGCCAAAGCCACGACGGACACTTTCCGACGGCGTAAATTATAGCCTGTTGGTTTGATTTGATATGTGGGGTTTAACGTCCCAAAACCACCATATGATTATGAGAGACGCGAATTATAGCCTGTTGACCACTCGAGTAGCCGTGTACACTTTTTATTTGCAGAAAGCGGAATGAATTAGCTAGCTCTGTTTTTAATGTAGACATTTACGTTTCTCAAAAGAACCAGTGTGCTTGACCATTCATATTTTGTCCAGATTGATACAAAATATGCCTGGCATTCGTGAAGTGTAGCAGGCACTCAGGTAGCAACAGGTAGCATCAGGCACCTTAATCTGTCACACAGATTGGGGCGTATGATGTCAAGTGCGTCGGGGAGCTCAAAGACTTGAGAGATTGTTTGCCTATTTGAGATTATTGTTAACTGTCGCGCCTTCCTCCGCTAAACCAAGTTCTTGTTATTGAATTCCAGCTCGTCTACGCAGGACTTACTGTGCGCAGTTACTTAACTCATTCTGTCTTTAGCTCCTTTGGGTCAGCTACCCAGCCTATAGTCCTTGAATATCTCCTCCTTTTCTCCTCGTTTGAGGACGGTGTTCCTTTTCCTAATCCTTTAAAACCAGCAGCAGGTAGTGTCAGGTACGATCACTACCTACGCAAAGCAGCTAAGTAGACATAATCTGCTCCGAGCTGCGCTGCAGACGATTTTACTTACCAAAGGCGGCGAGCAACGGTGCCCTTGGATATTATCGCGAGCGCTCATTCCATCACGCAACAAGATAGGATAGTGGAAAGGAAGAAGCGAAAAAATTGTTTTTTTTTGCTTGTGCTGGCTGTTCAAGCATATGTTTCTACTTTCTTTGTCTTCTTTCTTTCCTGACTTTCCTCCGTTCTTTTTTTTTTCCTTCGCTAAAACTGGCTTTGCGTTGTCTATATTTCTGCGGTGAGGCAGTTCAGAGCAGGACAGGAACTGAGGAGGAGTTCTTTGTGGGTTCAGTGCATTGCCGTCTCGGACAGGTGTTACCTGGTGCTGGTTGAGTGCCTCTTTCTCTTTCCTCATCTTTTCCTGTCTCTTCCCTCTCTCTTTTTTTCCTCCTTTTGCTGTCCGGCTGTTGCGATAGGCCGTGTTCGCTAGCTGTATACCGGAGATCATAGACCTAATTGGTTCAAGGCCAAAGTACGGTGGAACATTCAAGTCAGAAAGAGGACGAAGGTAACGTGTATTTTGTGGCACTGGTAGAAATGTAGTTTACATCTCTAACCTTACTTCGTAGTGGTTTTTCGTTTTTCGACTGCCGAACTTCCCCTGCATGACCTCTATGAGCACCCTGATACACGCCGATTAGTGGAGTCCATTACTAACGTTACAGCCAATCTTAACAGCGGGTCGCGTAGCAGCTGTTCCTAACCTCGACCACTAAAGGAAGAGGTAAATAAGCATGATTAACGCATCTATCAGTCGCTCGATATCACGCAGCTCAGTGGCTCTGAGCAAATGGAGCTCCTTCAAAATGCGTGTGTCAAAGGAACCATTCGGCAGATCCCGCGTACCTTGGAAATCGACGTCATGCGAAGCATGCCGAAGGAAGGTGACCATGCGGTGAAATTTTTACTTAGTGGCACATCATGAGTTAATGCTTAATATATGTATAAATGTTGCACGCACAGACATGTTGAAGAGTTGCGGATGTTAATATAACCAGTTGTTTGCACTTACGCAATGATGCGAACAGGACCATGCGTATTCGCAACACCAGAAGCAATAAGCTTAAATGAAGCATTGGTGCTTGCGAAGGTGGTAGCCCTGGACACTGCTACATAAATCAACTTCAGCGCATGGCACCTAACTACAATTGACGCTAACCCGACGTGCCAGCTGTACCATAGGAGTACATGTGTAACGTTTATAAAATTGAATAGCCAGCACTGCAACTACAATTGACGTTTCACGAGCTCAAAGTTTTGTGTGCCAGGGTTTATTTGAAAAGCAGTTCCGAGACCTAGTGTGGCTCTGTGGTAGAATACTTGATTGCCACACAGAATGCTTGGGTTCGATTCCTGCTGGGACCCTGACATTCATTCTTTGCATTTGTCAGGACAACGCTACCGGTGTCAAGTTTTCTAAATGCTCACGAGTTAAAATTGACTGTGTGTGCTCTCGTCGTTCCTGGGTAAATACCAAGTGTCCATCGCCTGTGGCACATACCCGCCCGCGGCTACGTGCCACTTTCATGCGGGAAATGTTTGTAGACGTACGCGACGGCATTACGATATTATTCGTGTATTGACCAGCACGTTAAAATCGCCATACCATCTTAGCCTCGCATACTAACTTTGGTTCACGCCAAGTTAAGGTGATTACGAGAACACGCAGAAGTGAGCGGCTAGATAAATAGACAAGTACGGAGATAGACTCCAAAAATGTTTGCAGTACGCAAAGAAATGCTCCACACTTAATAACTTGGATTGACGAGAGCATCAGATCTCAGCGGCTAGATTTTTGTAAAAGAGCATCCGCACTACGCCCCCCGACTCGCGATGTACGGTAATGTCATTTTGGTAGAAGTTCGCAGTATGTGTGCTAGCGTACCGCATCTCTTTTGCGATCATACTGTTCCACTGATCACCCGCTCCACATAACGCTTCCTATACTAAACACAACAACAACAACAACGAAAAACATGAAAGTAGTTCTGCCGTGCTTTATGCATAAACAGCGCGAATGGTTCTCACAATGCTCGATTCATCTGGGTCGAGAACATCCATACTACTACACAAAGTAACAGAAGCAATATTCTGCGCGAACATTCAGGCTCCACTGTAGTTCCCGCGATGTTCGCAGTTGCTGCTCGCCGCATGTACCTACCCGCACGCCTGCATGTATTTTCCTTTTTGGTTCTTAGACACAATTGAAATAAACGTTGCATGTTGGGTGCTTTGGCCTTAGTTATTTTTTTACGAGTGTTTTTTGTCGCATCAAAAGAAAACCAAGTTTTGTGTGCCAGGCTGTGTTGTGTGCCATTCGCAGCAGGCTGTACAAGGTGCTGCCTGGACCAGCTTGCTGTTGGCTTTGAAAATTGCCTGCCGTGCCTACTGTGAATTGATCTGACGTGATGTTCACGTGTACATAAAAAATTATTTTCATTTGCTCACGAAGAACAGGTTGCGACAATGTTGATGTGCGGTTTATTTCAGTTGTTCTTGGCATTTAATATCAAGTTAGCTTTTCTTCTCTGAACTGAGCAGAATCACAGTTGCAGTTACATAAACCTATTTGGCAAAACAAAGCCAAACCTCGAGAACGTAAGCATTGAAATTTGTTATTAACAAGTCTGAAACTACACAGTACAAATTCATGACACACTGCTTCCTGTGGTTTTGCTCGACTTCCAACAAAATGTATTTTACTTTGATTAACCTTAATGCTAATACATTGTTATAGGATGCTTCGTCTCTCACCCTCCTATGGAGAAAGTTTAATGCTAGTGCCATCAAGACACTACCCTTGATTTTCGCGTGAAAACCTTTACACGTATATCTAGTCTTCATTGTCGTATTAATCTAATATATTGTTTTCTCTGTATCGCTCTGAAACATCTTTTAAAAGTATTAAAACACCAAACACGTAAAATACTTTGTTCTATTTGTATTTGATCGCGAGAATAGTCACTCAAATCTTCCTGGGCCGCGTCCACCCTTCTTTATGACGTAGCAAGCGATGCTGGAGTCATTATGGAAAATTTCTTCTTTTAAAAACGTAGCAGACACCTTTCTTTTACCTCATTAAGACGTATATCATTATTAGCGCGTTCACGGCGTTATGTTCCTTGAATGTTCTCTATGAACTTGTATTGCTGACAACTTCGACCATCGTTTTTGCTTACAGGCACATTGTCGTGTGTGGACACATCACCTATGAATCTGTGTCCCACTTCTTGAAAGATTTCCTCCATGAGGACCGAGAAGATGTAGATGTAGAGGTAGTTTTTTTACACAGGTAAGTTGCCACATGTCGCCAGTGGTCCACACACCAACTATGAAACACTTGAGCTGCAGTAATCACACCGTGCAGTTTTTTTTAGCATGTGCGTTAAAAATAGTTAGCAACACACCTCACTCCTTTTTTTTTCTTGCTTCAGCTAAGATACTGGAGCAAAATTATAGCTGAGGGCAGTGTGCTTTATTATATATCCGATAGACGCCGGTGGTCTTCGCAGCTTAACGAAATAGCTGGGGCGGGTTGACGTACAGCTATAGCTCGATCTTGTTTACGTTCCGTCCTGCTTGACGTCAAATTTGCGTCGCCGCGAACGCAAGCTCGGTCAGTATGCGATGGGGGGTTCTCGTCGCTTTCGCTGCATTGCGTTAGATACAAGCGCTGAGGACACGGCCCGGAAAATTTTGTGCAACCACGGAGAGCTGGGGACGAGCACAGGATACGAAATAGTTTTAATTTATTCCGTCCCTGGTATCGTACAGATACCGCTTTAAGTGAGATCAAGCGGCATGCCCTTATTTAATTATGAACCGCTATGGAACTTAACCACTTGTGTAGAGCAAAAAAGCAAAATAAATAAATCTGGAAACACGTTCGGTTTCATCTTCCCACAATAATCACCCACAATAACTCAGTTTGCCTCCGTAACGCCTTCGACGTAGTCTACAACAGTGCTTGCACTGTCGCTTCTCTCCCTTGCAGAAAACCTCCAGACCTTGAGCTGGAAGGTCTGATAAAAAGGCATTTTACAACAGTGGAGTTCTTTCAAGGCAGCGTCATGAATCCAATTGACTTGCAACGAGTCAAGGTACTTATAATACATGTGCAACTTTTGCATTGTAGCATATTTCGCTTGCCACTGTGCTCAGAATATGAACTTTGTGAAGATCATATCACGTGGGCCACTAATATGTGCTATTTATCTGTCACTGAGTCACGTATTAGTGATGTTTACTGCAAACAACCATGATCTGCCCACTTTTTTTACTAAAAGTGTGTCTAACAAAATAGACGCTACCAAGTGTAGATGTCAGAACCTTATTTATTTCCACCTAAAATGCTTATGACCCAGTCCAGACGTACAGAGGCAATCGCTATAATGGGTAAACTAACATGCTTTTGAACTTCAATTTGCAGGTCCATGAGGCAGATGCATGTTTGGTGCTGGCAAACAAGTACTGTCAGGACCCGGATGCAGAGGACGCTGCCAACATCATGAGAGTCATCTCCATTAAAAACTATTCTGATGACATCAGAGTCATCATTCAGCTGATGCAGTATCACAACAAGGTGTGCATTTTAGTGGGTCTGGACTTGATTTCTGCACTTCCTGATGAAAATAAACTAAATAATGAACTCCATGTATTTCGCTTTAGCAGCATTGCGTGTTGAAAGTTTTAACAGGACAAATATAACAAACCAGCCTGACTTGACATGTGTTCGTTAAATTCATCTAATGCAACTCGCAGCCTTCTTGTTTTTTACTACTAAAAAAAACTTATTTTCTGCCAACCTCTCTTTATTGCTGCGAATGCAACGCCAGGGTTTATTGGATTGGCTTAAACAAAGAGGCACTTTAGGCGTGCGGGTTTTGCTAACCTTCTCTCATTCCGCAGACATAAAATATAATGAACTCGTGCAAGATAGGATAAGTCAGCATGCACCGAGAAAGGCGTTCGTCCTGCTTATTTATCAATTTATTTACTCCAATATCTCATTGAAAAGTTTAGCCCTATTCGAGCCACTCGAATTGTGCTCTCAACTACACTTCAAATCCACAGCATTGCTCTGTGTTTTGTGCCACTCAAAGTTTCTGGTGAAACATACCTTGAAAGGAGGACTCGAAGAGAAGGACAAAAAGAAATGCACCGACTAGTAAAGGAAACTGAGAATACGCTTGAAAGGTCAACAACTTTTCATAAACTAAGTATTTTATTTAGCTGTAACACCAAGTTCACCACTGGGGCCACGGTGCCATCTTTAAGGCAGTAAGAAAAGTAACGACCTTTCTTTCCTGACGACTCCCCAGCAGCTCTTTGCTCAAGAGAACGCGTGATTCCAAACTTTCCACATTGGGCACTAAGCATCGTTGCGAACTGGTGATAGTCTAGTTGAGAAATTATGTGCCCACGTGTTCTACCTCTGATAGCCGCATCTTTTTTTACATTTACAGAACGAGGTGTAATTGTTCTGATATTTACAGAGCAATGAAGAAACATAAACAAACTTGAACGAGTTTGGCTAAAAAATAAAAGCGGCAGGAACCTCCTGATGAAACTGATAGTTACCAGCCCCAATGATATTGTTACAAAATCTTCTACATGCCGTTATAACTACCGATCAACGTGAGCAGCCTATAGATGGCTTCCATCTACGTCACTGAAACAGCTACACTGGAGCCCCAACATAGAGGGACACGAACTTTGTGACGTCACGTTAGTGTTATCAATACATGGCATGCTGCCTCCCTCATTATTCCTCCATGCATAGAGGCCCATAAACATTCCAGTGACATCCTTATCACACTGGGGCAGGTTACTGGCCACGTGATTATGCAGCCTTGATGTCACCGAAGCCGCCATGTTGAAACCGTTTGTGCGTCTATGACGTCACGTGCGAGCTGTTCAGTGTAGCAAAAAAAGAACCATGCCATTTGGCAGCTGCTGTACTTTAGTGAGTGAAAGCTTAGGTGATTAGTAATTCTTATGAACAAATAAAAAACAACAAATTACCACAAGGAACTAGAATGGACATTTGTTTGCTTTTCTTATTTGGCAGGCTTACTTGCTGAATATCCCCAGTTGGAACTGGAAACGGGGAGATGACGTTATATGCGTGTCGGAGCTGAAGCTCGGCTTCATTGCACAAAGTTGCCTGGCCCCTGGTTTTTCAACCATGATGGCCAACTTGTTTGCTATGAGATCCTACAAAACGGTGAGCCACCTAACATCCCTCGGTAGTATATGCGCCCTAAAATGAGATGTTTCTGGTCGGCAGGAAAACCTCCGATTTCTTTCAGTCCGTGTCTGTTCGGCGTAACAAAACGCCTCTAAAACAGATGTGTCATACGCGTATATATATATATATATATATATATATATATATATATATATATATATATATATATATATAGAGAGAGAGAGAGAGAGAGAGAGAGGTAATATTTCAATGAGTCAGTTATTTATGTCCCAACTCCTTTCGTCAGGGGATCAGTCTAACTCATCCGGGTACTGTTGGGAGGTGTGTGTGTGTGTGTGTGTGCGTGTGTGTGTGTGTGTGTGTACATGTGTGCGTGTGCGTGTGTGTGTGTGTTGTTGCTACACTACGTAGTGTCGCAGTATCTTAATTTTGGCGCTATCAAACAGAGCTTTTTGTGTGCGGGCGGTAACTCTCCCAAATTGTCTTTTTAGTGAAGCTACAAGGTTGGTTAGTTGGCGGTCATTTATACTTAAGGCTGCGCTTAGGGGACGCCATAAAATTTTAAAATGCACAGAGAGAAAGTCCTCGTCCTCTGCTTCTCTGCATCTTTCAAATTATGCCGTATACTTAGCGTGGCCTTAAGAATATCTTGCAGTGACCCTTGTGAAATCAGAGTAAGGTTCTATCGAGTGCCAACCTTGCAATGGTACTGCAGCATCTGCCCATTTGTTTCTTACCCAGAATTATTCATTGCGGAGTGTGTTCTGTATTGACCGACTCATCGAGTAGCTTTGATGTTGCTTTTTGTGACCAACTCTTGAATATGTTATTTGTGTTTTCCTTCTAACATTAATTCCAGGAAGTGGGCTTCTTCAAGAAACTATTTGGTGTGAGTGAGTGCGATGGTGATAACGAGGCGTAGCGCGTAGCTGGATTGAAATGAATGTAGGTAGCAGCGGGCAGTGTTTTCGGTGGGCTAGACTAGTGCTTGCATTCGGTCTGTTTACTGTGTGAATGTATAGCTTTGTTCAGCTGAGTTCGCTCAGGGATAAAACCTCTTCATTGCACGTTTTGCTTCTTTTCTTGGGAGTACTAATAACAGCAGTTGTGGGTTAGCTCATGTATTGGGTGTTGTGTTTCTCCTCACAATCTTTGATCGTTCCCTGCACTTGCCTCTAGTTTTTTTTGCATCAATGGGTACGGTGTATAACAGCAGAACTAGCATGCAAAATCAGTCTTCATTCGTTTCTAAGCTGTAGTATGCCCAGAATTCAGAGGTTCTCTGTGACCCCCTTCAGGGTTCTGTATAAGTGAACCAAGTATGCGTTCGACTCCCGCAAAGGAAAGTCAATAATTTTAGAATGGCATTGTTGCACAGCGACGAAACCTCCCGTATCTCGCTTTGTTTTTCAGTCTCCTGACATGCCCGCATGGCAAAACGATTATCTGTGCGGCACAGGAATGGAGATGTACACCGAGAGCTTATCCGCCTCTTTTACAGGCATGACCTTTCCTCAGGCAGCAGAGTAAGCACTCGTTGATTAGATTACTCTTACCTAAATAACTTTGCTTACTTAAGACACCGAAGAGCGCACGCCAGTCCATGGGAAGAGGCGTTTGCATTGGCATGCATTTGCTACTTTCTGTTCCTACACACTATGCATCTCGTTTATCCGAAATAATAAGTGCGACTGTGCATTACACTTTATGTGCTGTTGTTGGCAACTCATTTTGGGTATGAGAAGTAGTGTCATGCGCATTTTTTCATATGATTACGTATGATTAATGGACACTGCCAACAAACATTGCTAATCGCTAAAACAGCTGAAGTACTCACCTATTCAACAATGCATGGTGGGTACTTTTTTTTCTACACTGAGTGAGCGCACGCTATAAAATGCGAAATTTTCTTTTCTATACTTGAACCGAGTATGCCTCTCTGGTAAACGAATTCGCTTAAGGCAAAACGTTTTTTAACTGTATTTTGTCACCTTTTTTTACATTTTTTTATGCATGTGTCCTTTTCTTTTCACGACTGTTTCAATTGAATCCATATGTACGGAATATTTTGTGTGACGTAAAACTTACGTGCCGTACCTCTTGTACGAGCAGAAACCTCTTTAAGGCCTCGTCGTCTTTATGTTCTGCTTTTTTGCTGCTGTAGTCCGGAGAAGTAAAGTCCGTTCAGTTTATTGGCGACTATGAGAAAGCCTCAGTTTCTGTCATAAAGCTATATCACTACGCCGATTACTTCCATTGCGCGCCTTCAGTGACGTTTTAATATACTAGTGCAGTAACATTCAATGGTGATTTTAAGCAGCGTCTTCAGCTTCTGCTACTTTACTTGCCATTGGTGTGCTTGTTGCCTGATGAAAGACGTCCGTTGTTTTTCAGGCTTTGCTTTGTGAAATTAAAACTCCTACTTTTGGCCATCGAGGTCGCTGTTGATGATGGCGCAGATTCCAAGATTGCCATCAATCCCAAGAAGAAAATAAAGATTACTCTTAACACTCAGGGGTTTTTTATTGCTCAGTCTGCAGACGAAGTCAAAAGGTAACAAAGCCTGGTCAATGTTGTGTTTTCTTTCTCTCTTCTGCCATTAACGATTCCTTTCTCACTTACCATTACACTTTGGTTAACTCTTTTCTCATTTATTTAGGGCGTGGTTTTACTGTAAAAACTGCCACGAAGACATCAAAGATGAAAAGCTCATCAAAAAGTGCAAATGCAAGAATCGTAAGTGTTTTAAATTGCTGGCGCTGCTTTCACTTGATCAACAGTGATTGTATTCAAACCCAGAGGTTGGGCGAAGACAAAGCTTTTAAGTGTTGTTCTTTTTTTTTGTTTGTTTGCCTAATGCATGTCTGTTCGTTGTTAAACGGCTAAAAGTGTTTGCTATGAAGCGCCGTGACTCTAAAGCACATCTCACCCACAGCAGTGTTTCACCTGTGTTTGAATCATATTGTAAGGCTGAGTGTTCAAAAGCCGCTTTTTTCTTTGTAGCCCTGACAGTGAATGAACAGGTGATCATAAATGTGTCCCAAGCTTTTTGTGAGCTTTTTGTATATTCACACTCGCTGTGCTTCAGCTGCCACGATTGAACACGTACTGCCTTGGCAAAACCGCTTTATGCACCGCCTTATCACATAACCAAAAAAAAAAAAACACTGAATCTGCTCTTCTACCCTTGACATGAAATGCTTGCTTGTCGCTTCATGCATTGTGCACCATGTTGTTTACTTTGAAAAGGCAAAAGTATGTATTACACGCTCAACACAACTGGAGTTGTGCGAGCGCCTTACTCATTTTATTTCTCTTTGTCCTTCGTTTACTAAAATTGGCAGACTGATACACAAATGTTTTGTTCCCGTGTTTTTTTTTTAGTAAACGAGTAGGCAGCATATGCTGCGATACTTCATTATTGCCTGATAAGAATGCCTCAATCGATGAAGTAATCATATGGCACCATTGTTCCAGACCCCCCCCCCCCTTTTTTTTTTTCAGAGTGACTTAAACTGGGGTTCGCGTACTTGTGTTCATTTATGAGTTCGAGGCTGTCTCTCTGACTATTCACCGTTTTGAACTGTGTTAATCACTTCTGATAATCTCTTAAAGAGAACCACTTTATATTTTGTTTAAGGGAATCGTATAGCTGTTTGTGCGAGCGATGGTCAAATAAAAAATTAAATTAAACTTAGGCTAACAGAGAGCACCTGTTTATTCCTAAACTAATGTGACCTTCGACGAAATCGACCCATTCTTGTAGTCCGTCCGCTCCTTGTCGAGTCGAACTTGTCAGACACTGGACCTAGAATGAACTACGAAAGGCACCAAAAGCCAAATTGCCTGGTGCTTCTGCTTAAGCAAAAAAAATTACAATGCCTCATTTTGTGACCTCGTGTCTGTTTTCGAAAGGCTCGACCTAACGGCTGTTCGCAATTAATAGCAAATGCAACACCTAATCAGTTGTCCTAATTTTTGACTTGCTGGTAAATTTCGGTTCAAACTGAATTTGCAGAAAGTTCTTATTCAGTTTCTATTTTTTTGCTTATTGTGGTATGAGGCTCATAGGAAAAAGAAACATGGAAAGAGGATTTCATTTTGCCCTTGAAAACGCCTTGTAAAGAAGTAGATAATAGTGCCCTATTCAGGCAAGAGTCTGTAAACCACTTTTCGTGCTTGTAAGTGTTGGTTTATTGAGTTGACCGCTGTCATGCTCTATAATAAAAATAAATAAATAATTTGATGAGAGCTGCATGACGTAGAAAGTTTCTGTGCATTAACTGCATTTATATTGGGAAAAAAATTTAGTAATGCTTATCTCATGGAAGCAAATACCGGGTTTGCAGCCTTGAACAAATGAACATTTTGTGTGGTATATGTCATTGTACATTTAGCGTGAGAAATGTTTTTTTATTTGTTTCCTCATTTTTAGTTATGTTCTGTTTTTAATTTCACTATCCACTACATAAAAGCATGCTTAGTTCTATGCACCTGCAAATTTAAATAGGAAATCATAATCCTCATGCTGTCATACATTGGTATACTCGGCCCTATCTTCCAGTGAAGTGCTTCCGCAGAAGAAGTAGCGATAGTTCACATGCAATATTACTCACTTCCCCGAAGTAATTATATTAATAAAATATTCATACTAACCTACTAAGTTTAGTTCTGATTGCTTTTTTTGTTTTAGTGACTAGCTGGTGCAGGTGTTCTCAAACACTTTCAACGAACTACATGAATGTGCTAGTGATGAGACGTAATTTTTTTAAATGCACTTAGGAGTTTGAACTAAACAGTAATATTTGGTATGTCATGTGTTTCTGATGATGTCTCACACCCAACAACTAACTGTCTATCCTTTTTTTTTCTTTCTCTCCCCCATTTTTGCTGGCTTTTCTTTTTACCCGTGTTGCTGCCGGAGTTGGTCTGTTTAAAAAGGGTGTCAGGGCAGTGCAGGCAGTTAGTCGAGCAAGTAGGTTGCCTTCAAAGTATCTTTGTTAAATGTTGTGAACATAGTACGTGTCGCCAGCAGTCCAAAACTGGCACTGGAAGCTGTGAAAAAAAAAAAAAAAAACGCGCAGCCTGACTGCACTTTTGACAACTTTTGTATAGGGCCCTCGAGTACAGGTTCAGTAATTAGGCTTTACCGGTGATCGGACACTATATTTAATGTAAACGCTTCTATTTTTTTTGCAGTTGTTTGCACAACATCCGAAAAGCGAAAAATCAGAATGCCAATAACAGCTACGTAACGCGAAGCAACTACACATGTTTTAATACAAGTTCATATTTGATGCAAAACTTCCCACAAACAGCGCCCATGGCGTTATTCCCGTCAGATAAACTTAGCAAATATATACCTCAAAATATAAGTGCACCATACAGTACGCGAATTCATTAAATGGGATCGCCGTGTTGAAACAGTAATTACGTTGACGGTGTACAACACCAAACAAGACAAAAATTATCTCAATTTTCAAAGTTTCCCACTTGTTGACACTTCCTGAATCGACACGTGCGCATTGATATCATTCCGTGAAACGATTCGTACAAAACATTTCTACTCTTGCCCTTCTTCAAAGTATTGCCTGACCGCAAAAGTGCAGTCAAGCAGCGTTTCGCTGTAACTGTATTTCGACGTGTAAATGTGACGTAACTCTATTGCACGCCAGACGCATGCCTTCCTGTCCGTTTGTAGCATGCCTTACACGTCCTCACGTGCACGTCCGTAATTATTCGTCGTGTCTGCATGCAAATGTCCGCATGACATGTTTGTCTATCAGTGCATGCATTATCTATCACCTCAAGCCTAGTTTGTACGACATGCGCTCTGCCACGGCACTTCGCCACGTGTTGCGTTCTCTGGCATGCCACGTACTGGCCCACTGAATCTGCAAAAGTTGTCCCCTTCGCGACGTGTTTCGCACCACCCGTGCATTGTTTCTATTTAGCTAATTTACATAAGCATGATCTACCACCCCGAAGAGCTGTTGTGTACTATAAGAGAACGTACCTCTGCAAAAAGACAAAAAAAAAACAACGCTGAACTTGTACTGTGGTAGACAAGAATAATAGTGTTGCCGTGGCAATGCGTTCATCCTCCCGCTTGCGTAACACCCGCGTATTTAGCATCGTTAAGAATCTGAATAAGTTTGCCGGTGCGTGCGCGTCACCTACAAAAACGAGCGAAACGCGAGCACCAGCTCAACGAACGCGTACGCTCTCGTTCAATGAAATATGCAGGACAAACGTGAACATATCAAGCAATAGACTCCATTGATAAGATTCAGCTATTAGGCGTAATACCTAATGACGAGTGGTTGATTACATATATGTATATGTCAGATTCTCATTTTATTATCATTCCACGACATGCATATGTTCGTGAAACGTTTTACAAGGTCTTGTAGCTAGATTCGAAATTAGTCGTGAATACGTTTATGTGATGGATAGACCAGATTCCTCTATGACTTTGCATCGCTACGCGAGATAAGCATGTCACAATATCATTGGACATCGTAGGTCATTCTGTGCATTACGCAAGTTTGAAATTGTGTCCAACGGCATTACATTGAATTAGTATCGTATATGTTTTCGCAACCTGGAGGAGTGATTCGCAACTTCGCGTCACATCAGCTTCATGCGTCCAATGTTTGCTTCATGTTACTAATGTCAAGTTTTCGAATGCGTATGAACCCCTTGAGAGAGTATTCATCGTAAGAGTTCCTTAAAAAAAGTACGATGTTATCTTAGTACAAGCAACCTTATTACTGCCGCATAATTACGTATACATTTGTGATTCCGAAGTACACATGCTGCTCTCCCGAATTTCGTTGTTGCTTCATCAGTAACCTGATTTGGGTCAAATCCTACTGTACGTATTCTAAAAATGCAAGGAACTTCTATCGAAACAACGAACATTCCACCACCATTGTCTACGTCGAAAGCAACATACTCGAAGTACCTCAATTGACAACATAAAGAAATGTTTCTAAAGCAGCTCACGTATTGTGTCACTGTCCTTACTGCTCGTCGAGGATTCCCGCAAGCCTTCTCTGCCGAAAATAACTGCGTTGATGCAAAATGTCTTGCTTCAGGAACTACATAAAGCTAGTTCGGAGGAATTCGTCAAGAAAAAAAGTAATGCCTGCGAACACGAACGCAAGAAAGGAGAGCCAAGCACAAATGCCGACCATCAACTGAAGGTCCGTACCGGGCCGGAAAATAAGGCAGACACAAAACTTGCCTGCGCATGCTCAGGAATGGCAGCGCCACCTGTAAATTAGGCACGCGTGCGTCTCTCCACAAGAAGTAACTGTGCTAACAGTTATCTCGTAGGCCCGTGCGTATGTCTGTTTAATGGTTGGCGATGTCATACCTGAGCATGTACACATAACTTTTTTGTTTGCCTTCTTTCCAGCCACTGTGCGCCCCTTCAGTTGATAGTCGGAGATTGTGTTGCCTGGTTCTCCTCTCTTTTGTCCCGTTTTCCATGCCTTATTTTTTCCCAATTCCTACACAAGCTGCGTTGTGGACAAGGGTAGTTGAAAGAGGTTTAACGCAATCAAATCAGTCGAATGACGAAAGCTTTAGTATACTATGTCATCGCAAAAGTCTCACTGCACGCTCAGGGTTTGATTGATTGATTGATATGTGGGGTTTAACGTCCCGAAACCACCATATGATTATGAGAGACGCCGTAGTGGAGGGCTCCAGAAATTTCGACCACCTGGGGTTCTTTAACGTGCACCCAAATCTGAGCACACGGGCCTACAACATTTCGGCCTCCATCGGAAATGCGGCCGCCGCAGCCGGGATGTGAACCCGCTACCTGCGGGTCAGCAGCCGAGTACCTTAGCCACTAGACCACCGCGGCGGGGCGACACGCTCAGGGTATAGTGCGATACAAGTTAACTTGTATGCATGTTTATCTTCTCGCTAAGGGACCAGTACAAATGGCGAGGAGGTGCTGTGTTATTTGTGACTTCTTTTCTGTCTGTAGCCTGTGTCAAATCATCGTGCGTGCTCTTATGTGCATGTGTCCTGTCTTTAACTGCTGCTGTCTTTCAGCAGGCATTGTTCTTCGGTAGTGCTTACCACTGGCACGTTAGTAACGTGAGTGGTTGTCTTATTCACTAATCCACAGATGAAGGTCTGCATAACTCCAATGTTCCCACTTTCACACCACCCGAAATACCCAAGAGAGTCAAGCTACGAGGTAGTGATCCTTTCACTAACATCTTCTGCTGTAGTTTGCATGCTGACTGTGTTTTTGAACTGCTGCCCGCTAATAGGCGTGTTCTCGAGTGTACTAAATATCGGGCACGCTGCCATCTATGTTGTGTTTTTTCGTAGTATAGCTTATGCAGAGCACTAGTGACTCATTTTATTCGCTTTGCTGTTTTTCTGTCTAGCTCACACTTGCACATCGACAATAACTTGTCGCAGCTGTAGTTGTGTTCTTGTGACGTCTCTGACGACTGTGTGTCCGAAGAATTGTTTTATATAGCTTTTTGTTCACACGTGCACTTTGTAAACCCACCAGAGCAATCTGGACACGCAACACGGTTTCACTGGCTAGCAACTCAGTGCTGAGTCAAATCAGTGGGCGTTTGACATGGTGCTATTGTGACTTCCTGTGGCATCATCGCGCTATTCTAACGATAGGGTAGTGAACATGCTCTAGTTGCATGCATTTTACTGTTGCATTGAAAATAGGGTAAAACGAAACTTTCAGAGATATATAAACGTCTCATACCTGTGCTGCGTTTACTTTTTTTCCCGTACGAGTAAGCGTACTTTCTTTGTCTTCAGTATATCAATCTTACATTAAATTCACTGAGACCAAAGCAGCACAGTAGCTGACCCAAATTGCTGGCTATATCTAGTACTACAATCATAACTTCTGCTATTCGCTCGAAAGTAACACGTGCACCTAGTAACGTCAGTGTCTGATGCTCTGCTACTTGATTGCTACAAGAAAAAATATGGTGCAAAAGCGACAACTATGACGAAGGCTTGTATCTTCTACATCATCCTAGTCATGAATTGTTAACTTCCTAAAAGTGCGAATGAGCAAATGTAGAACACGTCCTTGTGCTTTGCAAGTTCTTAACCTGCTTAATCAGTAAAAGTTATACGTCTCAACAACGAAGCGTGAGAACTTAAGAGAACTACGCTGTTCTTTTTGGAGTTAGCATTATTAAGATGGTTAGTATGCACTGAGCATATTATTTTTTGTGAGAAGGACTCCTTAGATGCTTTTGGTCAATAGCTGAAAACATTACTGCTTCATGAAACCGATGTTGTGGTCATTGAATCGCCACAAAAGACTGAAATGTTTTGATCATGGGCCTAATAACGTGAAGTTCTGGAAAATAATTTCTGATGCGTCATGCCCGCAAGCAGTGTTGTTTGGGAGATATAATTTATTCAATCATTTATAATGTATTGAGAGATAAAGAGAAATAAATGATAAAAAACTGGCATGAAGGTGGACCTGGAGTGCAGCTTGCTGCCCTGCACTGGGGAAGGAGTAAGGGTAGACAGAAGTGTAAGACAGAAAAAGATAAGGAAAGCGAGACAGACGCATGTAAAACAAACTAACAGGACATACTGCTGAGCTAGTTGGCTCATAACTTGAGGACAAAAGGTGCAGCGATGAGTAGACGGGGATGAGTAGACGGTGTACTGCAAACACGGGTAACGTTACTGATGACCCTTTCTTGGAGCGCAGCTCGACAGATCTGGTACAGGGTTCAGTTGAAGACAAATCGGCATTCACAAAAGCTGCTTTTTTCTTTTGATACGCGACATCCTTCGTTCAACCAGTGACAAGTGCATTAGTACAAATATTATCAATAGGCTAAAGATTTATACATGTGTATATAATTGTCTTGTGTTTTTAAGTGCAACAGTCTTGACGTTGCTGTCGCACAATCACCTAAAGCAATGTAGGTAGAATATGGCAGACTAATTTCAACGGAGAATCACCTCAAGACAACTTGCTTTGATTTCTGGTTCTTGAACCTAATTTCGCGAAGGACCTGATGTGTGGGTCATGTGTGGTGAATGTATAACCCTGTACAGGTCCAAGAAAAACATTTTGCCATGTGAGAGTGCACATACTAAACTGAAACTGAAGGCGTTCCAAAAAGTGTTATTTCCTTAAAGAAGACTGCTGTTTGCGTTGCACATTGCCAGAGCTCGAAAAAGGGAGCAGGTGCTTTGATACTCACCTAAAATCTTAGATGGAGAAGTTCAGAAGAAGATGGAAGCTCGTAGGGAGGAAAAACTCTTCAACGCGGGGTGTCGCTGGAGCCGATATTTCGAGAAGCGTCTTCTTCAGACGTTGCAGCCTTGTCCGCTTGTCGAAGCAAATTTTTCATCTTACTCCCTCAGCGTCTTTATGGAGCTAAAGTTGCCAAAAAACTTTGTTGAATTCTTATTTATTTTATGAAGCGAGAAATTTAATTCTTCTCAATTTCTAGGAGCAAACTCGCGAAATAGGAATGAAAAACGTAGACAAGTAGAGAAGATCGCACATATTTCCTTTGTTTATTAAACTGCTGTCTTGAACGCAGCAAAGCGGATGGGCAGCCGCTGTGTATTGTCCAGGTAGTCAAAATTAATAGGCTATGCCATCCCACTGGATGTTTCTACATATAACGGTGAAGGCAACGCTGCTGCTTGCATTATTCGCAGCGTAAACGCATACTTAGGTCTTTTGGTTCAGCGAATGGCATCAAGCATCTAAGGTGTTCACTCTCACATACCACGCAATGCGTGCTTAGATGAGCAAGTGCAAACTGTTCGCTTTTGTGTTGATTTGCACGTTCTGTTTTGTTTTACTCACCTAGTTGAAGAAGAAAGCTTTACCTACACGGGTATGTTCATTCGCTGTTATTTGACAGCACTCCGTGCTTCGCACGTTTCTCGAACAATTATTTCTTGATTTATTTATATTTCTAGAGATAGAAGAAACATTTACTTGTCGCCCTGTGTAGAACCCAGTAGTCCAGAAAACGTAGGCTGCATCCTAATAGGATTTAGGTTGCATGCTACCACACCTATTGCTCGAGTGCTTTAACAGGGTTTGCAAGGTGGTCGAGGCTGAATGGTATAGACAACCTGGCAGACAGCGACCATGAGCATGTGCAAAGCTTTCCGCTCATAGTGTAAGAAGTAACAGGGAATCGCTAAAACGAACATTGCCGAAGCCAATTTTTTTATATGCTCGCAACATTGTTTAAGCTCAGCACTATCCCCGCGTTTATCCTTCATTACCGTTTTTCCCCTTTCTCATTGCATTTTGCATGTTTCGAAACACACTTCATCATCTGAATTAGGATTCCCGATTTCCCAAGCAACTAGAAGGCATGGCCTGCATATGAGTTACTAGAGCTTTTAAAAGGTTACCCCATTAATATCGGGGCGTTCGCCTAAGCAACGAGCGTTAGCCTAAGTTGGGCCTTCTGTAGGGATGATGCCCTCCCAGTGCCTTGTGCAAACTTGCCCTTTAGAAAGCACCAATTTCTATAGCGTTTACTATTGCACACCCTCAATGCTCGAATTGTTCGCGAAGGACGCCACTTATCTGTGGTGTAGATTGTTGGCTCGTAGCTGGAGCCTTTAATCTGGGGGAAGGAAGAACGTATTACCAGCATGAGTAGTAATACGGTGCATGCTAGTATTACAAATGCCTTTTCTAACTCCGCTAGCGCGGTATGTCAACTAAACATTAATAAAGCTAATATATCGGCCTACAATAAGACTTCTTTTACACTAAAACAAAGAAAGAAAGAGAGAGAGACAGACAGACAGAACACCGGCATTCACTTTTTTTCAAATGGGATTTCTGCAATGTTTACAAAAAATACACAATTCACATCGCTCTTTTAAGCAATGTCTTTAGCTTTCACCATACTAAGACAGAACTTCCCACTTCTTCTGGGAAAAACATTAACGTTTATTATGGAGAGTTAAGTTAATATTCTTGTTTAAACTATCTAAATATGCTGTTTGAAACTATTTAGTACTTTAACCTTGCGCTACTCAGTAGTGTGAGCCATAGTTTACCAAAAAACTTCTTGCCAAAGAACATGGTTGAGAAAAAATTGTGATGATATTCATTTTGGACATTTATGAGAAGGTTACCTAATTTTGAATCATAAAAATTGTCCTTTATTTGAGTTTCACAGCCTCTTTAAATTTAACACACATTTTCTCACTGATATACGTTTCAATTTACTAAAACTTTCGATTTAAGAAAACGTATCCTGCCTATACAGCCACGAATTTCATAGCATTGCCTCAAAACACAAAACGTAGAACGCAGCGTGACGCGTGTTTCAGGCTTTTTTTTTTGTTCTTGTTGTTATGCACCATTTTTTTTACATTTTTTCAATCGATAAGAGACTTCATTTTCGTTTCTAATCACACTACTTCTAATAAGGAAAGATCTTTAATAGCTGTCAAAGTGACCGTCGCCATCATTGTAAAAGAAGCCCTTTTGTTAGCGTTTACGAAGACGCGGCCCGAAATTTTCAAGCGCTGTAAGGATACAGAGGGCATTCGTCCATCACTGCTTGCCCAAAAAGCTCGAGAGAACGGGGCGGGGACGGTCTTTCAGATCATTTTCTTTCTCTTCCCTTACATTTCGTCCACAATCAGCCACTCAGCCTCCCGTGGGCAACAACAACGACCAGAACCGCGTGAGCTCTGCACCCAAGCCAAAGCCAAGTACAAAAAAACACGACCAGAGCAATTCGCTGACATCGCCCAATGAGCGCGGAGGACGCTCTGCTCCCCCATCCTACGCCAGGTAAGCCCTGCGGCGTGAGTCGCCAACGGAGGCATGTCCGCTCGCGCGTATAAGCTGGGCAACGCTCATCAGTCTTGCCACCTCGGCCGTGATCATAGCTTGAATCAATCCGCATGAGTCGCCGGACCAGTCGGAGGCGAACGCCGGCTGTTCCATGCATCGAGTTTCCTAATATACACTAGAAGGAACTCTGGCGCTAGTGCCTATGGGAGCTGCAACGCACGGCGCTTCAGCGAGCATGGGAATGATGGGTGGTACACACATTTGTCTAATCTTTGTACTTCTGGCCTGCTTTTGGCTCCGGCTGTGTTCGTGTGGCTTGGAGTTGTTTTCACACGAAACGAAAATCAGCAAATGTTCAGGGGTTGCGCTTCACCACCTTATTATTTCAGACTTACCTTTCTAAATCGGCTCACGAAGTTCAAAAGGGTTGAATCTTTCTTTCCAAACAAAACCGAAACACAGCAATAAACGAAGCCGCAAGTACGATTCGCCGCCCGCAAGTACGAAGACTAGGCAAATGTGTGTACTACCCATCATTCCCATGGTCGCTGAACGATCGCAGCGACAGAGTCCCCTCTAGTTAATTTTAGGAAACTCTATGGTTCCATGTGCTTCTGCCGAGTGTCGAAAAAGCTTGGAGCACTGCTATTTTTGAACCATATACACTTTCGCACAAAGCAATATAAGTCAACGGGTGTCCTCCTTTCTTCCCCACTTTCGGTAGACAAATTGTGACGCTCGCTCGCCTCACAGCACTTATGGGTTGTTCCCAAATTGCGAAGTACGGCGGTTCTGCGAGCGGGAGTCGACACAGCCTGCGCACGTGAGGTACACAAGAACGTCCCGGCAAGGCCACGTGGTACCTCTGTTACAAAATGGTATACAAGGCGCTTGACTATCAAAGCAAGCGAGGCACATTCGTCTGCCTCGTTCAATTGACAAACGCGACCTCCTTCTCATTTGTTTGTACAAGATCCGAATAGGAATTAGCCTCACCTAACCGTGCGACTTGCCTTTCTTTCCACAGTCAAATCACTTCATTTGCATCTCTTGCGAATGTAAGCACATTTACAGCTACTTCGAGTGGATTGAACTGGCGACATGCCAAGCATGCAGCTGCTGTGTCCATGAGCATATCGTATAACGCCGAACCAGTTAGTTGTGCAAAAGCGATTGGTGGAAGATACGTTCACCTGCGACGCTTACGCGCAACGCCAAAAAGGGTGAATCGTAAAGATTGTCTCAATAAGTATTTTTTGTCCAGACGGCTCCGCAAGCGAAAAGAAGTAAGCAAGTAAAATATAAACTTCTGAATATGTCGCTCCTATGAACGAGGCAAGCCATTGTTAACGGGACTCAGAGCACCTTCTTAGTTCAGTATCTGTCTATCTTCTTGTTGACGAGTCAGAGCTGACCTGCTCGAGACATATTGTCGACTGCATCCGAAATACGGGCTGTGCTGACAGCTGGAATCGATAAGAGCTAGACGTCATTACTGCTGATTTCTGCGCATCGTACGCTTAATCATTTTGAGAAAGTGTAATTAATTATCATATCTGGTGATTCCTCGCTTATCTATATTGATCAGCTGATTTGGATTGAATAGATTCGCATGTTATGTCGTATAATTCACTCTTTTGCAGTAACTGTCAACGCCTTCAAGAAAACAGGAAAGCAGAGCAACGATGCGTTCTAACATTCATGGCGCCTTACTGTTGTTCCTCAACTCACCCCTCTAAATACAGTTCATGTACCATGCTAGTTTTGGGTTGCGTCCACTGAAGACGGGCCTGCATTGATGAACGCAGAAACTTACAAACAAGAGCGTGGGATTGCTTTGGCAGCGCTCTCGTTTGTGCATTCCTGTGTGCTTCGCGGTGTCCCTGTTTTCAACAAGCGTTACTCAAGACCAGTATGCTTATTTACCAAATATAAGAAACAACACTCTTCGTATATCACGGCTTGGAAAAAAACAAATGAATTTTGTCGCAACCTCCAGGGGCCTCATCAACTCGACGTTTCTATATATTTTTTCACACTGTTCTTGAATCTAACGTTTCACTTTCATCCAGGATGCCTGTGCGTGTAGAAGATACAAGGTCGTATTCATAGCCAAACACTGGGTGACGCCGAGGTCATCACAATTTTGCCACAGACCATTACTTGCCATATCACTCTTGCACGCTATAATCAGCTATGGGCCCGACAGTAAGAACGCCTCGATCACTAAGTGGACAGCTTATACATATACTGGTATGAAGGCCTGAAACATTTACTGTGAACTTATTCGCAGGGATCAGGTTTTTTGCAAGGGACAGTTGATTATACATGTAGTCAACAATCTGCCTTAACGAGGCAAACTGTCTTCATTGCAACAGTTTCTTGTGTTACAAAAGGGTGAGTGAGATTACAGCGTTCCCAGCTGCTGTATGTCGTTGCCTGTTGTAAAAATCTGAAGCATCAAACAGGCATGATAACAGGCTTGATAACAAGAACGCCTGAATCTAACGTGCCTTTTGTACACAGATCTTTATTTTTTCACAGCAGAATAGTTTCACGCTTCGAGTGGACGAGAAAAGAAAACATTCATCAATGTTGTAATGACCTTCCCGATAGTAACAGTGCCCATACGTTTCTTGAGAGACTGCTAAATTTCAGAACGCATTGACAAACCGTTTCACGACATCATTCGAAAGGGCATTAGAAGGGCTGCAAAATCCGGTTGATCTATGTCCAGAAAGCTCAAGGTCTTCTTTTTTTGGAGAGCTTGTGGTATCACATGAGCTACTTCGACGGATTCTCAATCTCCCAGAACGACTACACCCGCTATGAGCACTTCAAATTGCGCAAGCAGACTAGGACAAGACAAGTTAAACAGACGCTACACAGCAAATGTGCTTCGGTGCAAATGCTCTTTCTCGCCATTCCACATTAAAAAAAGTAAGCCGAGACGGAACAAACATCTAAACATTAAGGCGATGGTGGACTTGCTGAATTTCACGTTGATGAGGCTCTGTCCGCAATGCTGAATGCTCAATGAAGATTGTGAAAGGAACGCAGGTGGGGGCTCCATTCTAGCAGTACATTAGTGAGATTTGCTGTTTAGCTAGCTCATATAGAATACTTCAACAAACATGGCGCAAGTATTGCAGCTAGGAGATGACCATGCTAGATGGTCGTCTCTTCTAAGGGTTTCAGGTGAAAGCTAAAAAGAAAAAAAAAAGCCCCGAAGGCGAGAACTTTAATGAAAACAAAGTTTTAATGCTGACGCCATGAATAAACACTCATTTTCATCATATAGGGTGCGTGCATTCTTATTGACAATTTTTTAAAGACTGTCAGTTTCGCCAGAAAGCTGACAGTGTTCTGTTAAAAGAGCAGGAACAAAACTTTTTTTTCGCGTGAAGTTTCGGATGGTTCTAGCCACCACACTTTGTTGGGTGACCCGCGTATTGATGCAAGACAGGCGACATTCTTGTACGCCTCTGTATAGCTCTCAGTTTTGTTTTTTTCTTCTTCTTTTCAAGGGCACTTTTCAGGCACATTTCTTTCCCGACGCAAAGGTGCGCAGAAAAGGTACCGAAACAGACTGGGCGCTCTCACATGCCTTGAAGCACGTCTATCGTCAAACCACCGCATCAGCAGCATCCGCTTTGTCGAACACTCGACTCTTTGTTTTTCATTCCTGCCGCAACCTTTCTCAAACTTGCGCACCTCTCGGCACCAGCGTCTCTCCACACACTGTCACTCTCTCACTCGTTCACTATCACTGTCACTTGCGTGTGTGTGAGATGGCGCGTCAAATGGCGGGCAAATGGGTATAGCTCCGCTCGCTTCGTTCTCTCTTTGTTTCTCCTCACTGAGATGCACTCTTTTTTTTCTCGTAGTGGCCGTTGGGTGATTGAAGCGAGCGTGTACATGCACCCACTCGCACTGCGCGCGCGTGTGTGTTTGTAGCAGCCACGCCGCGCGCAGCTTTGGACGAACGCACTCGCGGCCACCTCACAGCAGATTTTTGTGTATGTTCCCCTCTCTTTGCAGTCCTGTCTCTGACACTTCCCACGTCACGCGGACGGCTGCGCCCGACATGTTTGCTGGCTTACACCTTGCCTATGAGGTCAAAAAGCTCATGTATGCTTTCCTCTTTTCTCTATCTCTATCTCTCCTTCGTTTGACTGCCTCTCCCAGCCCCTCTGCTGGCCCATTCGTGCCTTGCCTCTCATATATATATATATATATATATATATATATATATATATATATATATATATATATATTATATATATATATATATATATATATATATATATATATATATATATTTCTTTTTGTCTTGTACATGCACTGTGCAGGTCGCGATGCACGCATGACTCTCACGCTATGAATGCTTATACTCGTATGTCCGAATGCTTTTCTGGGGTCTCTCCACGCTACGGTGCCCAGAGACCACACTTGAGAACACGATAGCCACCTAGTGAACATATAGATGCTCAGCAGCAAAAGAAAGTCTAAAGCGCAATTTATGTCTCCCTTATTCTCCGAGGCGTACCTCTATGTGTGCTCTTTGCTTGCATCTGGGCCCCTTAGGTGTTTATATGGCCACCTCAAATGTACAATGAGACACAGTCTTTACAAGCTTTCAGGCATTTCTGGTGCTGACAGAACATAGCCGCGAAAAATCGCAGGTCATGTGTTGACGTCACGCCATCGTAGTGCATGCTTTTGACACTCATAGGTCATTTCATTGTTTCTATGCGTAACCATTTACCGGGCTTTTTTTCCCTCTCTCCATACTGCCTGTACCGTTAACCAGAAACTTTACACCATGGAGGCTGCCACTTTTATTGACCCATTTCACCCTACTAAATATTTTCCTCTTACTTGAACATAGTTGCAGTAAATTGCAACCCCAGAAAGGAGTCTCACTCACTACGCTGCATGCGCTACTCACTGCATGTAATGCTCAGAAAGCAAACGCTTAACCTTGCATTGCCGCCTGCGCTTACAGTTTGCCAGAGAACGGAAAGTTAATAAAAAAAGCTATCGCCACTGCCAGCTACAAGCAGCATAATCAGGAAGGTCGACCTTTTTTTGTCGCCGACACTTATTTAAAACCGCTTTTTCTTGTCACTATTTACATAAAAAGTAGTTTCCACAAACATTTTTGTTAAACAGTACATCGGTGCGCACCCCAAGTTAGAGCCCCAAAACGGCAGAAGCCACACCAAAGTTGTGTATACAATTGAGGTAGTGGTTCATCAACCAAGTCCTTAGCACTAGAAGGCTCTGGTAGCTAACGACTGTAGAAATACCTATGTAGCATAGCAGTGCAGGGAATATAATGCCAGGTTTATTGAACCGTGACTCGAGGTCGAGCTACATACATTTCGGCTCAGGTTTTTCTACTCCCTGGTTGCGCTGCGACCCTTTGAAGTGAAAGCGTCATCTTTACGCGATGATCTGTCTCTTAGAAACTGCGAACGAAGCCCAAGGACTACTGAATGTCTAATGTTTTGCAGCGGACAATTCAATGGTGCCAAAAAAAAACTGCACCTTCAAAAACAGTGAACAGCTTCCGCCATCTCTTTTAACTAAGTGAAGTTTGTAGAATTTGTTTTTTTTTTGTGGCAACTAGCGAGTTGTTTCAATGCGTTCAGGGAAAAAAAACTTTCTCCAGTGTCATTCTGAAAACAATTTTTGGCTGGCGCTAAATCTGGCTCAATAAGCGACAAAGGGTGAAAGTTAGACAGCAACGCTAAAGTTATAGCATTTTAATATTCTTGGTTAGTTCGGATATTGTTCTTGTTCAAATCAACTTGACAAGCCCGATAGTGACGATGGTTTGGCGGCGGCATGTTTCAATCACGTTACGGCGAAAAGCATTATTCACATGCACGCTGGTTACGCAAAATGTATACATATATGCGTCGTCGTTTTAAAAAATGACGCATTCGAAAGCACCTGAGGCCTTGTCACTGTGTAAAGATACAACAATATGGAAATATGGGAGAGGAGGTTTGATCGAATGCACAGTGTGCCACCGAGGCTTTCAGAAGCAATAACTACCTCTGAGCTGAACGTCGACTACAGTGCACGTATTTCTGATCTGTTACCATTCACACAGCTGCCGTCTCGGTTCGTATAGTGTGATCGATAGGGCTTTTCAGGCGGTGTTAATCATTTTGCTCTGTTCACTTATCAGTCTTTAACAATGGCAGTAGCTTTGCGATCAACGATAGCTTTTCAGTGCTTCAAGCTAAACTCGCCAATGCGCTAGACTCAAAGAAACGATGTATAATTACAAAACCAGCGCCCCATTTTGCAAATGGTAAACAACAGGACAATGTCATGGCCCTGACTTATTTTAGTGTTCGAAATCTGCGCTAATAGCTTCAGCACATTGATTCATCACGCTCAGAGCACACGTTAATATCTTCTCCTGGTATTTCATTTGCTTAGCCACAAACACGATACTCTGCATAGGCACAGCCAGATACAACATGCACAGTTGGTGTCTTCAGCGAATTCTGTCCGCGTTTGAAGCCCACGAGATGCGATCCCTCATCATATTTAGCACTAAGTTAATACGTGCGGGTTGCAGCTGTATTCACTATCATTCGTTAAAACATTTGACTACACTGGTATCCACGGCAGTGGGGATCTGGGAAAATAAACACGTAGGTAAGCCTATCCACGCACAGTGATTTCTTGTACTTGGGCGGACGGAAGGCTTGTGAATTCCTGTTCCTTGATGGCCCATAAGGTTGTATTGGTGCGCAATATGGCCTACAAAACTTACAAACACTGAACAGCATCTGTAGTACACTTACTTGTTCTTGTTGGGGGGGGGGCGGCAGCAGGAGGGGGTAGCCTGCCATACTTGGCTGATTGGAATGAGGCATTATGCAGACGGTGTTCACCATCGCTTTTTCAGACGAACTAAACGTACAAGAGAAAACAATTGGCACACTTTAGGTTCTGTGGTGTTGTTGTACAGCTATTTTAGTGTCATCTATTTGTGAATCAAAAACGCTGACACCTCAGGGCTTGCGCTGCTTCATTGATTAATTTGTGGGTCTTAACGTCCCAAAACCACCATTTGATTATGAGAAACTCCGTAGTGGAGGGCTCCGGAAATTTCGACTACCTGGGGTCTTGCGCTGCTTCAGTCGGGAGGCGTCGGCGGGCAACAGCCTTACCGGTATGCTGGTCTTTTCGAAAATCTTGGCTTTAAACAATTAAGTACGCCTGTTTTTGTTTCAAAAGTTCAAAATTTTCTAAAGAATCTATGTATCACTTTTCCGAAGACAATAAATGCAAGCAGGAAAATAAAAACAAGTACGCATGGTGTTCAAGGAATGCGAAAACTTGAAGTAGAAACACGTATGTTAAGACGTTCTCATGATATTGTAGTTTGAACGATCAACCCAAGTCGAACACGGTAGGCCTGCTTCCCAAATTTAGTCTTGTTCTCGTACCGATAATGCTGTTATTCTTTGTTTGAATAACTTTAGATTACGGAGTTTCAGATCCACATGAAAACAAACCTTAAAAGGTCAAGCTAAACTTACGGCCTGAAAAGGCCGGAAGTTCCAACTACTTGTGCTTTTTAAACGGGCACCTAAAGTCTAAGTAAACGAGCCTCTAGCATTTTCCCTCCATCAAAATCCAATCGCTGCTACCGGGACCGACCCCGCGACGTTTGGTTCAGTAGCTGAGCCCCGTAACTACTGCACCACCGCGGCTGCTGTGGCACTCGAAACTTCCTGGAATTGAACGTGCGTCCCAAATGGGACGTACCGAGTGATTACAGTATAGGTGGCAGGACGTCCTGTATTCTAAGGATACCTGGTAAATGATAGTAGGACACGCCGCTCACCGGCTCATTACTTGAGCAGGTAGCCTATCTGGTCCTTCTATTCGCAGAATGTAAAGGCCTACGGAATTCACGCCAACGTGACGCATTAGTTCAAAATTTCTGCTGTGGAGAAAATAAAGCACGGGAACGTACGTGAATCTATAAATGTGTGGTGATCGATACCATAGTTGGAGGTAAAATGAAATGTTTGTGGGACTGGTTTTGCGCAAACATTCCTCTCGACATGTTCAATTTGTCAGTCTCTGAAAGATATTCACGTAATCATTCACTCTTTTTTCTCGTTCATTTCACAGGGAAGCAAGATAGATGTTTCTTTCTGGTTAATCTCCCTACTATTAATTTACCACTTGTCTCTCTCTCTCGCGGCATAAGTCACTGTCATGCCTCAGGGCTTCTCAGTGACTCCACTTTGTGGCGTAGTTTAACTCAACTGCGTAATAATTGCATAACACAGTCGACATGAATGGTAGCAACAATATAGGCATATTGGACCAACAGCAACCTCCATCAGCCACCTGTATGGAGTCGGAATCGAGCCACCATTCCGGCTCTATATACATTAGTCAACGCAGCCAAGTGGTGATCAGGGCTAGCATTACTTTAGTGAATGTGGTAGCGCTAGAACGCCGGCCACCATTCTCACAAATCACGGAAGCGTACCCTAACGTATACACTGACATGTAATCACGTACAGCATTTCATGTTAAATATGTCTTACTATCCGCTTTCGATTGGGATACCACTCCGACGATTGGCCGTGCCATTTAAACGTTGACGTAGTAGGAATCCATGCAGTGGCTTCAGCGAGCGGATGTTTCCGTTCAACATGTCGTGCAAACGTAGTGAACATTAAAGCCCGTGTGTACTATGGCGGCAATGCCTTGCGCGAGCGTGCGCGATGCGCCATGTAGTTCTAGAAATCCCTGTGTATCTGCTCTTGCCAAGTAATCCGCATGACCCTGCGCGCGAACGCACAGTTTTGCGCCTATAGTTATTAATTGGCGTGCATACAGCTTTCCTTCTTCTATTTGTTGTTGTTTTGTGCTTCATTAACCTTGGCATTCTGCCGTGTCTTTCTGTCTTCTTTATTACGAAATCCTTTGTTAATCTGCGTAGGCGCCGCTTCCTCGTTACTTCTTTTTTTCTCTTCCTCTTCTTCCTTTTCTACATTTCAAACGTACAATCTGATTACATTCAGTACATTTGTCCTATATCTAATAGCGGCTGTATAAAAACAAAAAAATAATCAGCGCTACTGCGCTGCTGGTCAGTCTATTTCTCGTCTCACGGAAGAAGCGCTCTTATCTGTCTGTCACGAAAATACTTTACCACTCATGAAAGAAGCCCTCTTATCTGCATTTTATGAACTAGCTCATCAAGGGGCCCTGCAACACCTTACTAAACACAATCAAGCATCACAGTAGCTTGTAGAGTCACAGTAGGGTCACAATATTCGCGAATGTTTAGCGTAAAAACTTCACCTACAGCCACTATCAGCAGGTTTTCTTGAACAGGAGAGCAGACTTTCTGCGTCAGTGTTTCAGATATATTTCGATAATTTTTTTGTTCAAATGCGCGATGTAACGCGCACAACGTGACTACTCGTGGTTAACTAGGTAGAACTTTTTTTCCAAAGCACAACATCGCATCCGAAAATCTCGTGCTTACCTCGTGAGTGACTGCACGACGGCCGCTCTCGAACAGATGTGGACCGCACTGGGCGCGCAGTCTCATAGTGACGGAAGTTTGATACACAGCATTTAGTCACGCTACTATAATAATAATTGTTGGGGTTTAACGTCTCAAAACCACCACATTATTATGAGAGACGCCGTACTGGAGGGCTCCGGAAATTTCAACCACCCGGAGTTATTTAACGTGCACCTAGATCTAAGCACACGGACCTGAATTTTGGCCTCCGTCGAAAATATGGCTGCTGCGGCCGGGATTTGATCCCGCGACCTGCGGGGCAGCAGCCGAGTGCCTTAGCCACTAGACCACCGTGGCGGCCACGCTTCCATTAGCTCTGCCAAGAATCACTCGTGCCACTATACAATTCTGTTTACTAAATCTCTCCTTGCGCACTTCTACCGCAAACACTGGTAACACTTGTAACGTCCTCTTACCATATCACTCTCACGCTATCCGTGCGATCGCGTTACCATTCGTGTCGAGGGCATCACAACACTCTTGTCTTTTAATTATGTGCGGGCCTTGTAAAATTGTCAATAGCATCTGTATGCGTTGGAACTTATGGGCACCGCTTACTGATTTTTTTTCATTCCGTGCGACTGGGTCGCCATAACCCAGAAAAAACACTGCCCACTGACACAGGCGGCAGATTTCAGAAAAAAAGACGATGCGCAACTCTTGACTCTCTAAGATAGCGTTATCTACAGACCATACAACAGCCACCTGATGATTGGTTGTCAATCTAGACATTAAATAGTAAATACTAGGTCACAATTATCTATAGCACCGTAATTTAATGCCATGGTGCAATTGAAAAAAACAATAATATATTATACCGTGTGCCGTCAATATATAGACAAACCGATAAAAGGTGCTGCAGGGCCTCATCACAAAACGGCTGAATATTAGTGATTGAGTAGATATTCCCACCTCACAAACAGCAGTACTGCAATTATTGTTCCCTGTAATTTTAAATATCATGACTTTCGTTGTGCGCTCTTTTTCACCTTGAGCTGGAACTGCAGAGGCCCCTTCTGCGTGGGCGCCCTTCTCTTTCACTCTTGCCGCCACACAGGCCCACGAGCCGGGGAACCAACGGCACCGGGAACTCGCAGAACGAGAAGCCTTTCCCAGTGGGCCTGTCTGACGACCAGGCGAAAGATTTCGAGAAGACAGAAATGAAGTACGACTCCACTGGAATGTTCCACTGGTGCTCGGCACGCCCCATTGAGGACTGCATACTGGTACGTGCCTCGCTCCACTGTGTACTCTAGCAGGAAACCTGCGCCCACAACATGGACAGGAAGAGGGCGCTAAGGGTGTCTTGGCAAACCGCTGTGCGGAACTTACCGAACGAGAGGACGCCTTTAGGTCACTGTCACAATGACAAGTTATGGACTACATCGCGCCTCTTCATGTCTAGTTTGTGAGCAGCAAAGCAGGCGTCCGCGTTGAAACTAGCCTCCTTGTATACGCCCGAAAGCAGCTTTGAGTGAGCCGCACCCTTCACGACGCCAGTCTTTGCACAGATTGCTTAATGAATAGGCAGTGCACCAACTTTGCACTCGCTGCCAGTGTAGAAAATTAACTCATGCAATTGCACGAGAACAAATATTAGCGCTGGATACGCCAGAAGTTAAATATCAGGTACAACAATCTTTCTCTGGCCCTCCAGGTGCGTGGCAACCGTGAACAAGGTTACAAGAGTGCATATGAACTCAATTGTTTAAAGTCGAAATTAATCCTCTGAGCATACAAACCACAAAGCAAGTCTATCACGTTTGAGCTGTCGTACACGTTACGTAAACGGGATGATTGCCTCTAATGACAAGTTATTTTGCATGCATTTGATTGCATGAAACAAACTGTAGCAACGACTGCTGTAACTGCCTAAATGCACGTACAGAAATTTCAACACGCATCAACGAAGTGTTAAACAAGTCAAACTAGTAATAATAATAATTGTTGGGGTCTAACATCCTAAAAACACCATATGATTATAAGGTACACCGTAGTGAAGGGCTCCGAAAATTTCGACCACCTGGGGTTCTTTAACGTGCTCATAAACCTAAGCACACGAGTTTCAAGCATTTTCACTTCCATCGAAAATGCGGCCACCGCTGCCAGCATTGGATCCCGCGACCTGCGGGTCAGCAGCCGTGTGCCTTAGCCACTAGACCACCACTAGGTGCAACCACTAGGTACAAGTCAAACTAAAGCAGCCATACACCACAGGGGTTTCAAAATTCAAATCAAAAAGTGCGTATAGATATAAAAAAGTGAATATAACACCTTTATTATCCACGTGCGTTTGACTGTTCGTGTTCGTGACCTTTCAAATATATTTCACCACATGAACAAAAACAAAGTGCTCACGTCTTCCAAAGAATGACTGTCAGCCCTGTTTTTTTTTTCTTCTCTCCCTCTTTATTTTGTTTTTACTGCAGGATCGAAACCAGGCGGCAATGACTGTGCTCAACGGCCATGTGGTTGTGTGTTTGTTTGCTGATCCCGATTCTCCACTAATAGGGTTGCGTAACTTAGTAATGCCACTTCGTGCCAGCAACTTTCACTACCACGAACTCAAGCATGTTGTCATTGTCGGCAATGTGGACTACCTGAGGAGGGAGTGGAAGATGCTTCAGAACCTGCCGAAAATATCTGTCCTTAACGTAAGTCATCGTAACTCCTTCTATGTACGTGTTCCGTGCATTTTGTTTTTGTCCACTTCATACGGTTCCAACAAAGAAATAATCGCCACCGGTTCCCTGGACATCTCGTTGGTTGTCTATAAACTCCTATCAATGAATTCACATTCATTGTGCAACACGCCTGCGCAATCTGCATCTCATCCTTTCCCCTGCGCACGGTAGGTGAGGTCATGTACTCAAACAGACCTAAACTTAGTTGGTTGAGCTACTTGCACGGGAGCAAAGGTTGCGTATACGCAACCTTTCCTCCCGTGCAAGTAGCTCATTAATATGGATATCGAAATGGCTGAAGTTTTTTTAAACCTTACTTTTGTGGTCGACATTTTATGTGTTTCTTTCCTTTATCAGTCTTGGAAGCGCTGTATTATTTACTAAGAGTAAGAGTATTCTACCATTCGCAGGGCTCCCCCTTGAGTCGAGCGGACTTGCGAGCGGTAAACATCAACCTTTGCGACATGTGTGTGATATTATCTGCAAAGATCCCCAGCAGCGATGATCCCACGCTGGCTGACAAAGAGGCTATACTAGCCTCGCTCAACATCAAGGCTATGACCTTTGATGATACCATAGGTGTCCTTACTCACAGTAAGTTGTTAATTCTTTTTTATTTACGTATATTGCACGTTGTTTACCCTCATATATTCTGGTGACGTTGGTGTATGCTTTAGTTGTCATTTTTATATACATCTTGTTCCAGAGTATAAACCCTTAAAATGGAACAAGGAGACATGGCTCTAATATGCTTTACGGTTTTATTTCTTGGCTACGATGACTTCTTTCATTTCATTATTATATGTTGTGTTTTTCACAACATATATATATATATATATATATATATATATATATATATATATATATATATATATATATATATATATATATATATATATATGTTGTGTTTTTACTTCCCAAGGAAAGCTCCCGTGTTTTCTTTTTCCACTGTTCGAAGACAGTGGCCATAAAGCTCGTCAACCTGCAATGTGTTAAACCATACTTTCGACGCCAATGTTGAATGCGCCTTCGAAGAAGCGAATATATGTTGGTTACTTCAACTGCACAAAACGAAATATTGCCGCATGAACAAAAAGGAGTAAGGTTACATAAAATGCTGGCGGCAAAGAAAAATATCAATGTGGACAGTTAAGCCAGCTCAGTCTATACTTATAGTTCAATCTTTACTTATATAGTTAAGCCAGCTCAGTCTATAGTTGGGTAAACTTGCTACAAATGCGCCATGTGGTATGCCCTGTTATTCTAGTCTTCTGTGTTCGCGTTTACTCAGCGCACTATGCGTTTAAGAGCATTAAATGCAGTCAGCCTCGACGAGGCTGTTAAACAAGCATGAAGAATTCAAATACTAATTTAGTTACTGAACTTGCTTTCTGTTACTTGCCACTACCAAGTTTTAAAACATCGATATGCGTTACATACGAGAAACGTTATAAAGTCTAGCGTTTTCGCAATACTTCGCAAGAAATGATGTGACTAAATACGAGGAGAGAAAGAGACTTACAACACCGTAATTTTGAAAGCTCCTCAATCGCTGACATGGCTAGAAATAGCTGATACACGGCGACGAACTTGTGAATGAGTTATACAGCTGGCAATTTGACCGAAACAAATAATTGCAGTGGGAACTGCTTATATAATCTGAGAACTGGGCTTGCCTTTTTTGCCTTATAATTATCCTGTCCGTTTCCCTAGATCCCAATGGTGCTGAGGGATTCTCCCCACTGGGTAGTCCCATTGTGATGCAACGACGAGGCTCTGTGTATGGTGCCAATGTGCCTCTAATCACCGAGCTCGGTAGGTTAGCCGGATGGCACTAAGTTTCGCCTTGCCCATGCGAATACGCTTTTTTTTTTTGTCTTCTAAAGCCGCTCTTCCTGTTCTGAACGCTACTGTAGTGTAATTCTTTGTTCGTGCAGTGAATGACACAAATGTACAGTTTCTGGACCAGGACGACGATGATGATCCAGACACAGAGCTCTACCTAACGCAACCCTTTGCCTGCGGTACCGCTTTTGCTGTTAGCGTGCTCGACTCATTAATGAGCACTGTGAGTAATAATTTTTTTCGCTAAGTGAATTCTCGTTTATGTATTTGCTGACAATGCGCTTCATTTTTCAAGCTTTTACCTCGGTGATTCGCTCTGACGTGACTTGATTGACTTGCTGTCGTTATAACGGAGGTTATAAAACCCGCCCTATTATATATGTCTCAGAAAAATGGAAAAAAAGGGCAAATTAAATGAAGCGTTGCAAAACGCGGGCCTTGTGTTTTATAATGACCATAGGCTTCGGTTGTACTACGGTAAAAAACAAAGGAATGCGTGAAACATGCAGCACACACATGTTGCACTCTTTTTTATCTCACTTATTAAGTATTGGTACGCAGTGGTTTATTATTAGCACGTAAAGGCGCCAATATATACTACTAATGCGACACATCCCGGGGAATCAACCCGCACGCAAGGGAATATAAAGACGCAACCACTAAACAAAGACCCTACGTCCTTCTGATAATTAATGCTTTCAAAAGACTGGTGATGAGACTGTTTTTGCCTGTATTCTTCTTTTCTACGACAGACATACTTCAACGCGAACGCGCTGACCTTGATACGGTCACTGATTACGGGTGGCGCAACCCCTGAGCTGGAGTTGATCCTGGCCGAGGGGGCGGGTCTTCGTGGAGGCTACAGCACACCAGAGTCCTTAGCCAACAGGGACCGGTGCAGAGTCGGGCAGATCTCCCTCTACGATGGACCCCTGGCTCAGTTTGGGGTGAGTGGCTGCCTCTCGGTACACCTCGTTTGACCGAGTGAAAAGAGAGCAACCGAAGCCAGAAGGAGGCTTCGGTTTCCTACACTGTGGTTGGGAACGGGAAAAGGGGCGTAAAAGAACAAAAAAGAAGAGTTGCTGAAAGTATGGCGAAAAACTGTGATTTGAGCACTATCCGAGCGACAATAGGAAGGAGCGCTGTCCGCGAACAGTCACAGTTTGTCTCTAAGTCCGGTTGCTTGCAGGAACCGCACCAACGCCTTCACATCAACTCGTAAAGCAGATCGGGTACGCCAGGGCCCCTGGATCTTGTTCTCTGTCAGGGGGTGGTAGTTCAGCTAGCCTAGTGCGGTTGAGAGAGATGCTCTTTTGCAGTTGAAGCGGGTGCAGTCATAGAGAAGGTGCGCGACTATTTCTCGCGTGGAAAGATGCATTTGCGACCAGCGCCTGGTCCATTTCTTAATACGTTCGAAAGCACTGCTACAGTGCTATGAGAGACGCTTTGTCAAGGGGATTAATCCAGGCACATGATCGGCTGCTTGTTTCCGTTTCACCCCAAAGAGGGACCGCCGTAGCCGTGAGTTCACCAATTCAGACACTGGCACTCAGGAGTAGAGAGAGAGAGAAAAAAAAATTGGCCACGTATCTGCATGTTACTCTGCAAATGTCGTCGAAAGACAATAGTCTTGCTTGTGGAGAGAGTGAACAAAACATTTATGTGATGTTCTGCGCAAGAAATCGGTGAATGGTATTCTGGAGGTGCTGTGTTAGAGTGCCTCGAACGTGCAGCGGAAGCGAACGAGCGCATCGAGGCACGATAGACACAAGCGCCATCTGGCAGTTATCTTCGAAAACAAAGGCGTACTGCCCGCAGAAAAATATGTGCGCCAGTCTCGGAGGTGATAAGGTGTAGAACGCAAAGCGACGGGCAGGTGCCGCCACCGTGACGTCGTAGCAAAGCATTGGAAACACTTACCTTTTTGAGCATCGCGTTGCACTGTCAGCGCAGCGCGATAAACGCTACATTTCTTAGAGTTACTTGTGTGTGCCTCTTCTAGTGTAAAGGCAGACATACAAAACATCGAAGTGTTCTTATGGCACTTCAGATATGCGCAATAATGGATTTTTAATTGACAATCACGCAACAATGAACGCTAAACCTTGAGCATTATTAGTGGGCGCTGCGGATGGGGTTGGCCGTTTGATGCCGTTTGAGGTATCATTAGGGCAGACAAACAAACAAATGTACAGACAGACAGACCAAAATTTTTCTGTCAAAGGTCCCCAAGAAAGACTATTATCTTTAGTAATGTAAGAAACGTAGACAGGTTAACTAGCTGCTAAGCCGCTGCTACCCAACAAGTACAGTGCTATGATTCCTCGTGCTTTTATTGAAGTTATTTTTTCAGATGGGGGTGAGGTGGAGGGGTAATTGACGTATGCATGTGGGAGGTAGTGGCCAGATACTGCGCCAGGGTGGCCAATCCTTTTCTGGTGAGAAGGATTGTCTACTTATGTCTACTTATATCTACAAGGATTTTCTATGTCTACTTATGGCAGGTGATAACCGTGGAGCCGAACCACGTGATTAAATTAACTAGAAGAATAAGAATGAGGTGGAGCACATTTGGCAAGCACTCTCAAATCATGACAGGTAGGTTGCCACTATCCCTCAAGAGGAAGGTATATAACAGCTGCATCTTGCTGGTACTTAGATATGGAGCAGAAAGCTGGAGACTTACAAAAAGGGTTCAGCTTAAATTGAGGACGACACAGCAAGCAATGGAAAAAAAAATGGTAGGTGTAACCTTAAGAGACAAGAAGAGAGCAGAGTGCATTAGGGAACAAACGGGGGTTAAGGATATCGTAGTCGAAATCAATAAGGGTAAATGGAGATGGGCCGGGCATGTAGCACGTAGACAGGATAGTAGCTGGTCATTAAGGGTAACTAACTGGATTCCCAGAGAGGGCAAGCGGGTTAGGGGGAGACAGAAAGTTAGGTGGGCAGATGAGATTAGGAAGTTTGCAGGTATAAATTGGCCGCAGCAAGCACAGGACCTAGTTGACTGCTGGAACATGGGAGAGGCCTTTGTCCTGCAGTGGACGTAGTCAGGCTAATGATGATGATGATGATGATGATGATGATGATGATGATGATGATGATGATGATGTGGAGGGAGCTTATTTCATATCAAGTGGAGCCCTTAAGAGGAGATATTTTGACAGTTTTAATGACCCCTCAATTATTATTTTTTCTCTCTAATTCGTAGTATGGACAAAAATATAATATTCACATATTTCATTTCTTATGTATGTGGTATTTTAGTTGTAAACGTCGATTCAAGAGTGTAGGAAGATGTGAGCAAGTGTGAGATGAAACCCCTATTATATGGAGTTGCTTTTAATTTCAGAAGTAAAGCGCCACAGTGTCAAGGGTTGCTTTCACTGTATTCACAACTGTATGCCGTAGTTTTAGGAATAAAGAAACACGTTTTTTTATCTAAGTTTGCGGATAAACTTCTATATCAGTAAGCGTACAATAAATTGTAGAAAGGTTACCTAAATTTGCACACGTACCTGTGTTAGGCTCATAAAACTATTTCTCTACAGCAGTGATTTTTTTTTCTTGTGCAACTTGTCAGTATAACATACGAGTGTAAGCCTAGGGTAGTAGGGCGGTGACGTAGGGTGATTTGATCCTTGAAAAATGTAGAAAATCCACGCCACATGTCCGAAGGCTACATTCCTGGAGAGGTCCACACTGTAATCGTCTTCATGCCAATGTCACCAGCACAAAAGATGAAAGATAAGACGTCAAACATCCTTGTAATAGTTTTTTCTTTCAGGATGCTTTTTTCCCCTCTCTGTCGTATCCCATCTGTTCGTTGCGTGCAGGGGCTTTTAAATTTTACGACAGTGTCGCCTTCAGTAAATAAGGCGAACGCTTTATATGCCCCTTTGTACACGGAAGGTGATGGTCGGCGTCAACGCGAGTGTTGAAAAAAATCATCATGATATAACGACGCCACCTCCTGATGTCACTGTGGCATGCCATATCACCAGAATGTTTGACGCCATCTTGAAGCCATTGTGACGTCAATGTGGCATCACAATGTGACGTCAAATGATGGCTTCATCAGATGTCATCGTCGCACGGCCATAGGCGGGCTGATCCCGGAGGCACCACATACGTATGAACGCCGTAGAGTGCACGTTATCTGTAAATTATTGTTGTTACACAGTGCTATTTCTAGGTGTAGAGTAAAACATAGGGTAATGGAAATAGGGTAATTTTGACCTTGGCATTGGGTATTTTCGAAAAATTGGTTGGCGACATTGGTATGGCTCTAACACGCATGGCTCACAATCCGAATCCACCAGTGTATCAAGTGTTTCTTACTACTGCAGTATATTGGAATCACTGATAAGTTACAACTTCAATCCAGCCATGACCTTACGAGGCCGTTGCACTGCCTTTTGCGTAACTAGAAAATACTCTTGGCGTCGCAGGAGGGCGGCAAATACGGTGACCTCTTCGTAGCGGCTCTGAGGAGCTACGGAATGCTCTGCGTGGGCCTGTACAGGTTTCGGGACACGAGCTCCTCTGGCGAGGCGTCCTCGAAACGGTATGTCATCACCAACCCACCTGCAGACTTCACCCTGCTGCCGACGGACATGGTGAGTACCCGCCTCGGTGACCTAGTGTATAGGCCCAAGGTGTTCCACAGAAGTGGAAAACCGTGGGAAAATTTTGGAGCCAAGGTTTTCCGCAAAAATAAAAGGCACTATCACGGAGTGACAAAAAATTTTGTGGAAGAAACTTTCATACCAGTGAAGCGTGCAAAAGCTGTTATACACACGTACTACATTCCCCGTGATGCCTGGCTTGTCGCCCTGGTGGTACCCTGGCTGTTGTGTCCCTAGACGACCCCGTCTCATCTTGAGGTTTAGGTGTACCACGGGTAAGCGTCAACGTCGGCTGTGAGTTCCGTCATGGCGACGTCGATATACACGAAAGTCCACATGGATGTGATGTTGCTGGTCATCTCCTCACGCATGCCTAATCACGGTTGTCGCTATTTGCTGCAACTGCACTGCAGCTACTGGGTTCGGCCTTTGTACACATGGTTGGTTGGCGACTTGACACCCGGTGACACCCGGTGACACCCGGTGAGGTTTTCGCCCCTTACAAAGGATTGTACACGCTTCGGGCGTTATTTCCTCGAAATCAGCGCATCGACTTGGATTACCTGTCCTGTTGTCCCTTACATCCATGGTGTAGTGACAAGGCTCCTCTAATGTTTCCAAGGACAACATTGTAAAGTGAGTCACGCAGACAGTGAGCACGAACCTGTCCTTTGAAGATCGGTGTATCCAGAAATACCACAGCTTTTGGTAGGCAGTGCACTGTACAGTCCAGGAACAGTTCTGGCCGATATGCTTCGGCCAGTATTTCCTTTGAAACGAATGCCTCTCGCACTACTACCATGTCCCAGCCAGTGCCGCGCAGTACTGTAACTGGGAGCTTATTCATAAACCCTTTCACTACGACCATGGTTTCAAATTGCGTAGATATAACACTTAAGCTAACCATAGTGTTCGCAACAGGAATTGTTTGCCCGTGTTCCAGAACAACGTGATCTGCGTTCATTGCAGCCTTTTCATCACTCCATCCTCCCGCCACCACGGATACAATGCTTCACATCTGGTCCGTGTAGCGGTGGAATACTAAATCATGACTTGGGGAATACGCCATCGTGCGCTACCAGCATTCAGCTGCGCGATGACCCGCCTTGTCACATGTGAAGCAGCGCGGTTCCCTCCCTTCGTCGTTGTCTCTGACTTTCTTTCAAAATCTGGAAGCCTGGTTCCATGAAAGCAGGTTCTTTACTTAGGTTGCAGAGGTCCAGCGCTTCCATAAAGCAGGCAGCTGCCTTACAGATAGCACTCCGTGTCTTGCAACTTTTTTTTTTCCTTGGGAAAGATCCTAAGTACCGGAGAACAACCATTCATAAATTGCTCGCAAGGCTAGCAAGGTTGGTTTCAGTTTTGCCCATCTCCAGCCAGCGGCCAAAGTAGCCCGATAGTCTTGCAGCATACTGCAAACCAGACTCGTTCCATTCTAACTTGGCTTTGCGAAATCTCTCGCGATAGCATTCCGCAGTATAGCGGAAGCTCTAGAGAAGGGCTGCACTTAGCTGATCATAATTCATCGCAGCTGTTAGGTCTAATCAGTCTGTGACGGTTAGTGCTTATCTGGTCATGCAGAGGCTAGGCGAAAGAACACACTTTTTACGTAGCCAGCGCTGACACGTTGCAACCCGCTCAAAACACTGAAGGTACGCGTCGAGATCGCCCCTTGTTTCATTGAAGGGTGGTATCAGCTTATGAGGACTGCAGACGTCTGTCCTATCTCTAGCGCACGTGCCAGGCCCTCCTTGTTCATCAGCCTCATTAAACTATGGTCAGTTTGCACTCTCCTGAAGTCGAAGCTTCAGTTCCAGGATCTTGAGATCATGCTCCTGCACCTTCTGTTGCTGCTCTAATGGCTTCAGTTGCCATTCCGCGTCTTCTTTTGCGGTCTCTCGTTACCCTCATCTCGAGCTTCAACACACGCTTGATCAACCCACCGCCTAAACTCCACATCCTCCAATCGTGGCTGTCGGCCAAGTGCGATAATTTTTTACCTATCTATGACACAGGCTGTATCTGAGTATTGGCTTCAGGTTTTAATGAGCCATCCTGGCAGAGGCTCGCCCACTATGTTAATTTTGCTATCTTCTAATTCATCTGGCTTTTGCAAACTTCTAGTGGCAGCCCTGCGGCCTTTCTAACTTATCTGAGACACTAGCTACCACTTTTACGGCGCGATCAGCTGAAGTTGATATAAAGGTCGGTGAGCGGCGTCCTCGCTTCGGCATGGGCTTACTGCACGCAGAGTTAACACCTGTCACAACGACAACAATTGAGTTTCAGTCATACCTGACGGTGGTCATTTAGCGCTCCATAAGATATTTGAATGACTTCATTTACATAGCAAGCCGTTTTTCTCTGTCTTGTAATTGGCTATCCTTATAATATGAACTCCTCCAATACAATGCTTAACGATCAGCTGTGCACACACACAACAGTGATCTCATGTTTCCACTCAAAAGCCATGGACATTTTCCTGGTGCCGTTCAAGAAACATAAAGCATCTGAATCTGAAATCTAGAGCACAACATTTGTATGGGTTCTCAATCCTCTATGTCATGGCGCCATGGGGCTCATCTGACCTTGTACTACGTGTTATCCTTAAGGCGTTGATACCACCATGTTTAAATTACTTACGTTGATTTCATGAACGCGACACAATTTACGGTTGTGTAACTTGTTTTTTTTTTCGCAAACATCATTTTCCTCATTATGGCGGGCACCTTTTTCTTCACTTTCCGTAACGCCCCGTGCTTTTAATTTGTTTTTATTTTCTTTTTTTGCTAAACGCGCTGCTTGCATAAACAGTGTTATGGAAAGGTGATGAAAAATGGAACACATGACATGGATTTCAAGAGCGGTTATGCCATAATTACTGAAAACGCGCACTATTCTCTCAACTTTGCCTATGCAATAACTGCCGCGCAGAGATTTGTGGTTAGATGTCTACTACTCAATCGCGCGCACCAATTTATAGGTGACGGAACGAGAATATATCTCAAGACCATTGCGATAAAAAGTCAAGTTGGTTTTCATGTATACACAAAGAGCTTGATTACCACGTAGATGACAAACCACGGTAAGAGTGCGACCCCGCGCAGCCCTCTAAAAGTGAGATTGCGCAATAAATTAACGAGATATGTGTACGGAAACAACATAGCATCCTCGCGTACTCACATGAGACTGAACGTGTGACGCAAGCGCATGACGCAGGGGTGCTCTAAAGAAACCATTTTTGTACCCACAGGTGTTCGTCCTGCTGCAGTTCGACCCCGGGTTGGAGTACAAGCCAAACCGGGCCGAGGAGCCAAAGGACGACAACTCTTGACTCCTGCTGTGTAGCGCTTTGACTGACGGGCCTTACTCCTTCATCTAAAACAGACAACACTCTACCCTGCTGCTTGCCTCCCACGGTGTGGACGGAGATGGGACAGAGACACCGTACACCCAAATTGCACACTACAGCGAACGCCACGCACATATCCTAGAGGAGCACTCATTGCAGAGGCTTCTGAAGTGGGGGCTTTTCTTGGCTTTCTCATTGAGACTCCGGATGACGCACAGAAGTGGCCTTGTAGCTTAGTTAGGCATTACACTGTGGGGGAGGCTTCTCTCTGTTCCTTTACTTTCGAGCTGTCGACTATGGAACAACGAAAATTTTAAGCTGCCCTGTGGAGGACGTGTGAGCTCTAGGTAGCCACGAGCGGGCCGCTGGCCTCTTGATTGAATAGTGCAAGGGCCTCCCAGGGCAAAGAAAGGCCGCCCCAAACTCTGCAGGTGTTCCCCCAGAGTACCAGAAACAAAGAATATTATACGACAACATGTAAAGCTGACGGCAACCTGTCAGGCCCACTGCTTCCTTGTCACTCGTCGCTGGCGGCACAAGGAGGCAGGTATCTTCAAAGTATCTTCTAGAACCTAGGGACGTCTCACGTAATTCGCCACCTAATGAAATGGACACACTACGCAGCATGTGGTGTCGGCAGTGCCCATCGTTCGCGATGCCAGGCAATGCACACTCATTCACACACACACACGTACACACGCATGCACACAGGAGGAAAACTCAAGGGTCGTCTGTTGAGGTCGCTACACGGTTAACGAATGCATTGGAAATGCCTGAAAACGTGCAAAGTGCAACGCTGCTTTCGCAGCACACATGAAACAAGAGGTCCGACTTGGGACGAACGTCTCGTTTCAACACTCGCTCTGCATGTCTACTTCTCTGTCCTTCTCTGTTCCCGACTCTCTGCAATACAAGTGTTTGTTTTGTGTTAAAAGCTTGTACATTTGACATACGTCCTGACGCGACCGCGGCGTCGCGGTCTTTGTACGAAAGGGTTCATATTTTATGTACGAGTCAAAGATTGTTGAAATCTGTTTAGTTGCATTGTTTCCAAGCGGAAGCACGTGGTGTACAGTAGTGTTGTAAAGTGAGCAAGTTAATGCTGAACACTATGATGGAAGCTTAACAATGTGTAACATACCATTTTGTGTATAGAAGTGTACATACGCACGGCAGCGGGCCTTAACCTGGGCGTGCATTCGGCCCGAAGAGAGAGGCGTAACTGTGGTCTGTTGTTTCTCCATGGAGCCTTACATTTTTCAACCTTCGGTTTCACGTTCGCATCAATGTTAGCTCAAGGTCACACCGACGAGAACACGTGCTATATACTGTGTAGTTACTACGACGCAGTGCTCCACTCAGCAAGCCCCCTTCCCGCGGACGGGTGGCGTGCACGGCCAACGACCAACTGAATGTACAACAAAGCGTAGATACTCGAGTGGCTCTTGCCAGCACCGCTTCGGAGGAGGCCGCCGGCCGTGGAGCTGTTTGAACGGTCGTCAGTTCGTGGTTTTCGCTGGCCACCTCAGCGACCGTCCCCCATTATAATCGGCACTTTCGATTCGGGCTAAACCCCTTCCCGCCTAGGAAAAAAAATTCCGCACACTGAAGAGAAACAAAAAAGCGAGAAAAAAAAAAGAAGGCTGCTGACGCTTCACTCTACTTTTTTTTTTTTTCCTTGCGGTTGCTGCGAGGAAGCGTGCGTGAGGGGCAAGTTATTTCCTACCAGTAGCTGCGTAGGGCACTGCGCAGCGCAGCGCTGAAAAAGAGAACTGTGCGGCATAAACACAGACACTAGACAATCCATGCATGTTGTGATTTTTCATTGAACGAAACTATGTTGCAAACTCTTTTTTTATTCTCATTACACGTGAAGGGGCTCATTTATCCCGTCGCGTGGATGCCCCAGCGGAAAGTCGTTCGGAACTTTGTGAAGCGAGAAGTCATGGCGCCAGGGAGTGCGCGCAGACTTCTCGTTGACAGTGTGTCAAACTTGAGCAGCAAGGGTCGCTTTCTCGATATATTTAATTTGGGTGTTTTGTGCCATTTTCTGCGCCGTGTTTGTGGCGCCCTCATTTTCCACTAGTTGGGCTAACCGATTTGACCTGCGTGTGCATGCTCACTCTTGGCTAACTTTGTGAAGATTTTGCTTGCTAAAACTGAGCCAGCGGTATTTTGTTGCCATTACCCCTGTTACCTTTTCATGCGTGTGCACTGGACGTTGGTGGCCAATCTGCTGCTGCTTCTGCTGTTGCTGCTGCTGCATGTAAGCTTAAAGGAATTGACAGTTGACTACAACTGCCCAAAGACGGCCTTTCATTCTTTTTTACATGAAATCTGATAACGCATTGCCTGTCGTGCACACGTGTTCGCTTTCACAGCATTGTTGCTCCGTCGTTATCTGCTGTGACGCAACGAGCTTGATACGATACGCATAACTCAGCGTCTTGAGTAGTCTAAGCGGAGTGAAGCGCAGGCGTTGTGGCCACTTGAATTGCGAAGAGACGGTGGCGACCCCGAAGCTTCTTTTATTAGCCATTCTTTTTTGTTCTTTTTAAATACCTTTTTGAACACGCATTACCTCTTTCCGAGATATATGGCAAGCGCGCGTGAAGCAGCCCCACTGTAGAGAGACGCTCCATCACTCTGCGAGAGGTCGTCACGCTGGTGAATCAGCGAATATTCTAATTAGCGACATCACCTCGTATATTTGAGGGCCAATACCGACTGCGCAAAATGGCTTTGTCAGTGAGGAAACGCAAAGTTTTCGCAGCATACCGGAATGCACTAAACGAACGTGCGGCCCATGAAGTGCAACTGTCTACCTGTGTGTCACTATAATTCTCGAGGAACATAGTTATCCAGCGGCAGTGGCGCTGTAGGAAAAAAAAACGCGCACCATATTTTTTTTCTTTGCAGGGAAGCATTGTAAGATAGGCAAGTCACATCAGTAGACACTGAACACTCCAAGTGGTCGCGGAATAGAGGCCGAAAAAGGCGTCCCGATGCTGACGGTCGCCAACAGTCGTATCAGTGTAAACCTGGCGGTCTTACGCTTTCAGCGTATATGGTGAATTACCCTTCACGCTATTCAGCAGCATGACGCGTTTAAGTACGACAGCGGTGACCGACAGTTGAAATTCAGCTTCGTGTACGAAGCCTTGCCCACGTCGATATCTTGAGCCAAGAAAAACAAACGAAACACACGCGATGGTTCTTTTCACTGTATTTAATCGACGATCAGCGAGTGATGCGCGCCACACGCTATTCTCACGATTAGTTGCGCGGCGCCTAGAAGCGCGTTGATGTAGGCACCATTTACCTCCATCGAGCTTACCTCTCGTAGCAGCGCCCGCATGTCGTTGGGGTGCGGAACGACCCGTCAATTGTCTGTTGTCTGACGCTGCTGTTGTTGCGATCACGAACAAGGCGTTAGAGTCTATGAGATCATTGTTACCGCCGTGCCGTGTGTGCGTGCGCACATGCATGTATATTGATCATTGCTTGGCTAAATATATTGGGAATCGACTATTGCAGTTAAGCGCATTGCAGCGACAGAGACCACCAATTGTGCGTGCCTGCTCACTGGCAGCAGCAGGCACAAAGCGCAGACTACTAGGAACATCCTCTCTTCAGTTGCGTGTGTTTCAATCTTCCTTCGGGAACCCTCGCACAGACGTTTATTAGGTGGCGGGCAAGTAACGATCGGCGAAAGCAGTGTGCTCGGGACGGTACTTATTTCCGTACATTTTGTTTTAGGCCAGAGGTTTTACTCATGTTTGTTTATCAGCCCGAGGATTACCAGTGGCCGCTTAAAATTTGTTTCCCCACTAAACTGCAAGGCCCAAAAATGTTAGCTCGATTACTCCATCTTGTAAATGTTTCTCCCACGAGCATAATAAACATCTGCATTTAAATGTTTGTGAGTCACAATTTTTTTCTTCGTGTTGTTGTTGCCGTTGTTTGTTGGTTGGTTGTTTGCCTGTTGTGTGCCGCTGTAGCATGCTGCCTCGCCTTTGTTTTCTAGAGTCGTGGTGTGCGTGTCAGTGTGAATGTTTTCTGTTTTTCTTCATCTTTTTCTCACACCTTGCCGGCGGGTCTACGTAGTGTTTAATGTTAAACCCCGTTCTAATCGGGGTCTGCTCGGCTTAGCTCTCGTTCGCTACTTCAGACCTGCAGCTCTCAAAAGTGTACATACCACGCCGACTGTGGTGGCTTGAAAACTACTTTGTGACTGTGGCGCACTTTGACCACGAAAACGAAACGACAGCGCCAAATCAGTTGTGAAATCTCTCTCTTTTCCTCTTTTTATTTTATTGTAAGTAGCAGACATGCGCCACATTTGAGATGCGAAGCACATAAGCTGTCTTCACCTGACTGGGCAACAACGGCATTTTTCACGCGTCTACCATTGCACTGGGACCCTTTTGTTCACGAGGGGGAAAAGAGAGATTTCACAATGAACAGAACCCCGGTTCCGCTTCTGTTCAGCACCACCACTTAAGATCCTTTCGCAGGAGCGGAAACAGGGCAATTCTGCCACACTTAGCGGCCCCGATTCGGACTAACCGGCGCTTTGCGCGCGTTTGAGAGTGCGTCACAGAACCAAGCGTATGCCGATAGTATAGACCACTGTGCGATGCTGCATTGACGGTGCATGTGATAATGAGTGCATAAACATGAACGGAAGCATTTTCCCCATGTTTGTGTGCTAGATTGTGTGTTGTGCATTTGTTTGAGTTCGTCCTTTCACTGCGTCCAAGCCCACATCACCACCACAGGCTTGACTTGAATTCCCAACACCAGCAATTGGGAACTTGGGTCAGCCTTTGCACACGACGACACCGGCCCAGTCAGGTGGAGAACACATTGTGCACGCAATGGCCTCAAGTTTGTCCAGCCACATGTCTGCCACTTACCACACTCTCTCTCGATGTCCTCGCCTCTACAGTTTTGTTTCGTTTCTTCTTCCTGTGAAGAGCGTGCGTGATAGCAACGTCTCTCCTGTAATTATTCTTTCACACTCTGCATCTTTCCTTTCATGTGCTGTCTGCGTCTCTCTCTCTCTCTCTCTCTCTTGCATTCGATGTACGTCTATAGTACACTTGCAGCCTCATGCCGTTTTGTTGCTCCTTCACTGTACTTGTCTTAAGTTGTACTCGCAATAAATGTTGGTTTACCGTCGTCATTTTGCATGGTTGTACAGCATTATAATTTCTTTCTGTACGTGTATGTGTGCCTTTGTTGGAAGCAGCATATTAGAGCTTGCTTCACACCTGGACCGGCACTTCCCGCCCCGCGAGCACGCGTCCCGCGCTCCAAAACAGCCGCGCAAGCCTCCCACGCAGCATTAAATACGTTGCGCCATTCGCAGGTAGAATAGAAAGCCAGCAGAGAGAATCCAATCGGTAACTTTGTACGAACCGGGACACACGAGCCAGGTGAGCGAAGCGTAAATTTTGAGCCAGGCGTAAACAAAACAAAGCATGAGCTTTGAATGCCCGCCGTTAACAGTTCGTAAAGATGTCCCTTTCGCGGACAAAGTGATGTGCGCCTAAACGACCAAAATTATTCCCCCTTCTCCCCCTTCTTGCCTATAAGTTTGACGAGCAGTCACATCATATGTAAACTTATACCCGGCTTCTCTGTAGCTGCGTTCATAATTACAAGGTACAGTTTCTTCTTCTGTGTGTACTGTTACTGCCAAGCTCTCCATGGGACAGCCAGACCACGCACGTTTAATTTAGAGGCCATTATTAACGGTTTAGTGCGCTGGAATATTCGTTTTTTCCCAAATTCGTTACATTTTAATTGCGCCCTAATTAGCGCTATTTTTAATTAGGTTCCGACAAGTTCCACTGTCTTGAGTGTATTAGCGTTTTTGCCCCAGCTCCGCAAAGTTCTGGTCTTTTTTCTTTAACAGAGTTGCGAAAGGCATTTAGAAACTTAATTAACACGATATCTGCCACACGCAACAATTTACTTACCGAAGCAGCTCCGAGTTACAAAATAACTCAAGGTCCTTTAAAGTAACGTTCTATACGCAGGCGTTGACCTCTTTTTCGGGTTTGAGTAAACCATCTTGGCAATTTTGAAATGCGCAAGGCTTTGAACAGATAGGAATGCCAAAATCTATGACCGCTATAAGTCCACGGCGTAGTCGGCTATTCTCTGTTTATTGCCCTCTGTTAAAGTCACACACTACTCTGTACCTATCCACAATTTTTATACATGCATCGCCGTATCGTTTTCTTAAACGCTTACGTCCTCACAAACACTTATGATTCGCGTTTCAGTGTGCGCGCTTTGTTTATCGTTGTAACTTAACGCACTGCACAAAAAAGTGCCCTGGCAGTATTGCCGACACAGAAAAAATGTTGCAGCAGCCAGTTCAGCGCCTAGACAACAAATGGGTGCTGAGGACTCTGTATATAGGCGATGCTTCATCGACGCACCATTCCAGAGTGCATCGAAGCCGTTAACCAGTTTCGCTCATATAGCCGGTTAACGTACAATTGTCATCGTTTCTTACTCTGCCTCTCTCTCTCCCTCCCTACCAGTCTCAGGCTATAGCACGACCATTTTAGCTCCTGTTAAAGAAATGTACACACGGCGCATCATTCAGAGAGGCATGCGCTCAGGCAGATATCTGGAATTCCCGCGAACTCGGCTCTGGTTACACTTTCTAAGCTTGTAGGCACAAGTGGCAGTTACGTTCTGCGACCAGAGTAATACATTCATCAATAGCCTGCGTGCGCGCTCCCGTGGACGAGTTTTGACTTCCGATGCGAAGTCGTACCACTCGTTAAGCGCAGAGTTTATATTCACATTATGGAATAAAACCCGCGCTTGCTGAGAAGTCGGGCCTAAAGTTTGCACGCTGGCCTTCAAGAATGGGCACCCTTCCGTGTTCCCTCACTCGCTATTAGGTTAAAGTGATTACGGGAAGCGTTCTCACAGGGGCCGGTCCCAGGCTCGATGGGCACCGTGGCTTGCAGCTGTGATGTTTGTGCTGGTGTATGTGTCGTGTGGTAGTCTCTGTCGCACCAGGAGTGTTGTGTACTGCTTTGCACGGTATGCACAGTCGCCACAATGGGCCTGATCAAAATAGCTCGCAGAGCAAGGCCCCGTAGCTCCGGTAAGTGGCAGGGGAGGGCGGTGAATAATATGCCTTCCTCAACAGATATTGCACGGCTGTTCAAAATAGCCAATAAAAACACTAGTCAAACAAAATTATAGTCCTTTTTTATAAAGTCACTCTTGCTAAAATTAGGGCAGTAGCTACAACAATAATGGAATGTCATACAAAAAGGGACATGCCGAGTTTTCTCAAGTTGATGGTATGCGTTGCCAGACCATGGGCAAGAGAAAATGTGTGAGTGTGGCCCATCCACAAGAACAAGGTAAGGTCACATCGCACGATCTTAAACTTTCAAAATATTCACACGTCCAACAATGCAAAAAAACAAACGGCGTAGTCTTTCGTGGAGCTCGGAATGATTAGTGTGGAAGACAATCACAAGGTGTGATGTAATAAATAAGCCTCATATTCTTTCAAAGAATCCTCGCACCTTAAATTGGCGGAAACGTACAAATTGTGCAAGTTATATGCTCCATTCTACAAAACACCTGGCGATTAATGTACTCGTTATCAAAGCGTGGCCCAATTTTCAACTACTCTTGTCATTTCACGCTGTAAATTCTACCCATATAGCAACGCTGACACCTGCGAAATAACTTTATTGCCACCGAATTGAACTCTGTTCGTATATTGTAACGAATACATGTGATATGCACGATCTTGTGAGGCTATAGTAAGCAAGCAAGTTCCAAATTGCATGGTGCTTTCTGCAGGAGCATGTCACAAGGGCCAAATTTAATGAATTTTATGTACAGGCATTACAGATTTGGAGATCTCAAAGTACAGCTAAGAAACTCTTCGCTAGCTATATACTACAGTATAAAAGTTGCTATCCAGGGAATTTATTTTTCTTTCATGTGACCCAGCTATTAGGTATTGGGCAATTTTGCATGAATATAGGCGCCATAGTGGAGCCTTTATGTTACATAAACGGCAACAACCCTTAGGCAAGTCTGCCGGCAAGTATGCCACGCCGCGTTTTCAGATTCCAAAACTCAACGCAGTTGGGTGGTGGCGGTGCATCCACCCATCCCATATATATATATATATATATATATATATATATATATATATATATATATATATATATATATATATATATATATATATATATATATATATATATATATATATATATATATATATATATATTGTAATGAATCTGAATAACGGATGCTCTGCTGGTAATGAAGAAGACGATGATGATCGTTGGCTGTAGTAGTAGCTCGCGCACGCCGCTCGCCTTTAGCCAGACCTGCCTGATAAAGCACATTTTGCCAAGCTGCGTCTGAACCTTTCTCGACGTACAACACCTCTATTTTAAGTGGTGGAGGAGCCGGGGTTCCCATCAACCTGGAACTTCGCAATCGGACGCTACCCTCACCGTTCATCATGACTGCTTCTGGCCCTTCTCAAGCTGCCTTACAAACGACAGTCTACTGAACTGGCGTGCCTCGGCAACGCAACCCACCAATTTTTCGCGGCAACAACGAACAAGACGTCGAGGACTGGCTCGTCGAGTACGAAATCGTAAGTGCTTCCAACAAGTGGAACGCCTGCGACCAGCTCACAAACGTGCGCTTTTACCTCGATGATGTGGCCAGCCTCTGGTTCAAGAACCACGAAGGCGAAATCACCAACTGGTCCGCCATCAAGACCACCATCGCCGCGGTCTTCGGTCGTCCCGCCGTGCGCCGGCTTCGCGCGGAACAGCGTCTCCCTAGTCGAATCCAGCGCAGGGACGAGACCTTTACAAGTTACATTGAAGATGTCTTGTCTCTTTGCAAGCGCGTCGATGAATCTCTAACCGAACGCGACAAAATCAAGCAAATCATCAAAGGAGTTGACGACGATACCTTCCAGATGCTCGTCGCTCGGAATCCACGGACCATCACCGATGTTGTCCAGCTCTGTCAGGAGTACGACGAGTTGCGTAAGCAGCGTGTCTCGACGCGCAGGGCTGCTGAAGATACGGCTGAAGTTTCCGCCCTCGTGCACGATGTCGCTGCTGATCACACCGTCTTACTGCCCCACATCAAACAGTTCATTCGTGAAGAAGTTGCGCGTCAGTTTTCTCTTGTGGCCGAAGCATCCGCGCCAGTGACATCGTTAGACCCACGTCTACGCCAGGTCATTGAGACACAGGTCACGCAGGCACTGCCTCCATCGCCATCTGTCCCTACGCCGCGGACCTACGCTGCCGTCGTTGCTAGACCCCCAGCCCCACCTGTCTCTGGCGCATACAGGGGCACCGGGTCCTCCTACCCTACGACGCTGCCTACATACACGGCACCCCATCCCGTTTCGCCCCCTGCACCTTCTGTCGTTAACCCATGGCGCACCTTGGATAATCGGCCCATATGTTTCGCATGCGGTTTCGTGGGACATATAGCACGCTACTGTCGCCGTCGTAACTTCCAGCCTCCAGACCACGGGAATTCTGCAAATTACCAGGCTGCCCAGAATCCCCGGCGACCATCTTCTCCTATCACCGACTCATTGGCCCCACGACGCCCTGTCGATTCTCGCCGGTCATTACCGCCCCGTCGCCGATCGGTCTCCCCGATGCTTCACGCACGAGCCCCGCTCGAGAGGAAAACTGACAGCCGCAGTTCCGGAGGCAAGAACTGCGTCGTCGTCGAACTTTCTAAGACCTCCTCTTTGTCCGACCAACGAAATTGATGTGCTAGTAGAAGGTGTTGCTATACGTGCACTTGTCGACACAGGCGCCGTCGTTTCTGTAATTAGTGAAAAACTGTGTCGCGATTTGAGAAAAGTTACAACGCTGCTTACGAATCTTGCTCTGCGTACAGCCACCTCCCATTTTATCGCGCCGACAGCTCAGTGCACAGCACGCGTTTTTATTCAAGATGTTTGGTACGCTGTCAACTTTGTTGTTCTCCCACGTTCATCTTACGACGTCATACTAGGATGGGATTTCCTTTCTACCCATCAGGCCCTCGTCGACTGCGCTCGTGCTGAACTCACGTTGACGAATCCGTGCCTTGATATCGACCACCACAGTCCCTCCAAAGTGTTTGCCGCAG